CTGGATTTTCTTCTAAGAAAATAACCATCAATATACTTGTAATTTTTTAAATCTTAACAAGGTGTCTCTGATCTTTGGTTTGCGCTTTTGAACCAAAACTCGTATACCGTATGAAACAGAAGTGAATGAATAAGAGCGACAAAGTAAGAAATAAACCATGTAAAAGTCAAAGTGCATTCCGGGCAAAGGTTTTGCGAAGTAATGACCGAGTTGGGATCTGAGAGAGAATCTCCAAAAGTTCTCAGAAATTTGATAGCTTATTTGATTTAACTGATTTTGAGGTGAAAGATCAAGATTTGCAACAGAAAAAAGTTTTCAAAATGATTACCACGGTGCGGTTGTCTTTGAGCTTTTTTGAGTCTGCTGCATGTACGTATCTTGATTGATTGTATGTTGTTTAACGTCCCTATCGAAAATTTTTCACTCATATGGTCACGCCACCTCTTGCCGGTGGAGAGCAACTAATTTTGTTCTATACTCGACACTCAGAGCCAATGAACAATGAGGGATCTTTTTCGTGCTACCACTACTGCGACACGGAACATCAGATTACACGGTTTTATCCGAAGGACCAGTCTCCACGTCCCACAGTGGGATTCGAACCCGCGACTTAAGGATCGACTCCTCACTTCGCGAATCTAGAGCAGACGCTCTAACCACTGCGCCACACGGGCCGTATCTTGAAAAGGAGCCAAATTAATTTTGATGGCAAAGATCAAAGGACAAAAATAGCACCAAATGGTTAACTAGGGTTTTAGATAAACAAGCAAGGTTAAAAATATTCATACATTGCTCAAAAGAGTTTCAAGATGATAACCTGGAGTATCTTTTAAAACTTTTGTGTTAAATTTAAATTGAAACAAAAAAAACATTCTTAAATGGAGTGAAGTGGTTTCCAGACTCACTTCCACATGTACAATTTTAGTACATGTAAAACTAGCACACGTACTTAGTATATCAGTTCATAGTTTTTGTAAACATAATTTATTTTTAATGAGGCAAACCTTGAATCTCATCATTTGTGGTCCGTCGTTTCCATAAGGTACAGAAACATTAAGGATGTCCGATCCTCAGCCAGGAAGGATAACTCCCAAAATTAATATTAAATTTAAAATGCATCATGATGAAGCTTGAAAATGAAATTTTTTCATGCAACAATTTTCATTTTATTCATCTTTATATGATTCAAGGTTTTTGGAAGTCTTAGAAAAGGTGTTATAAAAAGTTGACATCTTTACCCTATAAAAGGAAAAAATAAATACAGTTTTAGAGAAATAAGATTTTCTTGAATTGAGCCTTAGATACTAATGCTAATTAGCATGATATGGAATTAGAAGTGATTTGTGATGTCTTGCAATGATAGCAGAAGCATTTTACACTGTGTATTATATAATACATGAAGGAAATAGAAGACATAGAATATTAATTAAGTATAAAAAAAACATGACAATGCCTCTGAATGCCTGGATACCTATTGTTCTTAAACCTGAAATATATTTGTTGATCAGTATGCAAATAGAAAATGCGTAACTGATATTCATATTCACTTTTTCTGCAGAAATATTGGAGAATTGACAATTTTCCTTATATAACGTGATTAACTTTAATGTTTAACTATAAAGAAAAACTGTGGGTAAATTTAATTACTTTGTGGATTCAGGGATATTTTTATGAGTATTTTCAATTACTTAACTACTAATTTTATGAACCTGAGGATCCGACTACCTTAATCAATAACCACAGTAGAACTTTTGACAAGAGAAATAACTCTCACTCAGACGAAAGGCTCATTTTCTTTTATAAATCATGTAAAAAAGGACCTTTCTGTAAAAGCAAAGCGATGTATGATGAGTGAAAATATGTGGATTTAAGATATGAATGACATTGCTTTTGGAAAACCATTCGCTTTGAGGGAAACATTTCATATGACCAAAGGGAGGAAAATGACAAACGTCACAGCCCCAGCCCTAAGGGGACGGCATTTTGATTCTGATTGGGGGGGAAAATTAAAAATTATTAGATTTTCCCCTCGCTTTCGCGAAAGCGAGGGGACATTAAATCTAATTCGTTTGTTAGTCTGTACTTCTGTCCGTCCGTCACAAAAATTTAACCTTGGTCTTATCTTATGAATGAGAAGAGATAGGGCCATTAAGCAGGGAGGGATCTTTTTCGTGCATCACCTACTGCGGACACAGGACCTCGTTTTATACGGTCTCATCCGAAGAACCAGTTTCCACGTCCCACAGTGGGATTCGAACCCGCGACGTAAATCACCTTTAAAAAATTTAAACATTACTTTGAATTGACCATAACTTTTGAATAAGAAGAGATTAGGGTTTCATATTGTACATGTTTATTACCTGTGACAAGACCTTTCTAAAAACACTATGATTTTTTACCCCATGACCTTGACCTTGAAGTTTGACTCACTTAGAAAAAAAAGAAAAATTACTTTGAATTGAGATGAAAAGAGATGGGGATTTAATTCATATTAAAGATGTATTTTACCTGTGATTAGACCTTTCTAAATAAATAAGGATTGTTGACCTTGTAACCTTGACCTTGAACTTTTATCTACTTTTCAAAAACTTTAACATTAGTCATAACTTTGGAATGCGAAGATAGGACTTTCACATTAAACCTGTTTATTTCCCATGACAAGACCTTTCTAAAAGCATGATTTTTTGACACCTTGACCTTGATGTTTGACCTCCTATTCAATTTTTTTTTATCTCATAACTTTTCATTGAGAAGAAATAGGGCTTACATATTTGACATGTGCATTACCATGAAAAGATATTTCCCAGCATGCTATGATCTCTGACGTCTTGCTCATTTTTTTTCCAAGTCAGTGTAAGAACAGATTATATATTTCCATTAAGATGAAGGGCGGATTATTTATTTCAAAATCTGTCACCCCCCTCCCCATTCCCTTCAGAATCAAATGGTCGACCACTAAAATGCAGTCGTTAAAATTTTCTGTACGGAAAGTTGCAACCTGCATGAACACATCAACGGCACGCCAAAATCACAAAAATGAGCTAAACATAGTTTCACAGTTGATAAACTAGTTTTATCTACTGTAAACTATAGTTTACAAACCGTGAACTATGGTTAACAATTCGTTAACTATAGTTTTCATCTGTAAAACTACATTTAACGGTTGTTAACTATAGTTTACGAATGCTAATCTACGTTTATCTGTCTGTAATAAAACGCTAACAATAGATTTCGTTGATAAACATAGATTCATGTCTGTAAATTATAATTTACGATCATGAACTATATAGTTAAGAGTTGTTAATCATAGTTTCACAAATCGTGAAACTGTATTTATCAGATAATTTATGTTCCGCAATCGCAAATGATTTGTTTAATCAGTGTTAATTCTAGTTTACGTCTTTCTGAAACATAGATTATCGCGTTAACTATAGTTTACAGATGTAAAATATAGATTAGGCCAAAAAAAATTAATCAATTGTTTCTCAGGCCAAAAAAATCAAAATTCAATGCGGCAGGCAGGCTTTTTTTTTTTTTTTTTTTTTTTTGAAGCAGGATTTAGTCTACACCTTCTTTTTAAAGTCATTTGTTCAATAAAATGATAATATCTACTAATTCTTAAGTTTTGTTCTCTGAAATTAGTTATAATATGTATTCAACTTTAAATAATGTTATTCCAAACATTTATTTAAAAGTTAACTTATAAAAAACTTTAGATTTAGAAGAAAGATATTGTTTTTCTAATAAAAACGTCTATCTTAGTATTTATGAAAAGGGCAATAACTCGATTTTCTTTTTCAACTTGGAAAAATAGAAAATTGGGTTATTTCCCTTTTCAATATGTCAATAAAATTGATCAAAGCGGCCGTTTTTTAACTGATGCGGCGGTGCCTGAGAAACTATTGATTAATTTTTTTGGGCCTTAACGTTGTTAACTATAGTTTACAGTCCGTAAACTAAAGTTAACAACCGATAAACCTAGTTTATCGACTGTGAAACTATGTTTAGCTCATTTTTGTGAATTTGGGGTGCCATACAAATCATCCACAGGTACCTGACGTTACTTATTTTTCTGTTAATAAAAAAAAAATATACCCATACCTAATAATTAGGTATGGGTTTATTTTTTTTATATTAAGAAAAATAAGTAACGTCAGGTGCCTGTGAAGTCATCATTTCAAATTTCGAAAATCTCAGCATTACTTTAAAATGTCATAACTTTTGAAAGAGAAAAGGTAAGTTCACATTACCTGTGATAAGGCCTTTTAAGTATAATTTTGGATCCTGTGAAATTGACCTTGAAGGTTTACCTTGACCTTGAAGTTTGACTAACTTTTCAAAAACGGTAACTTTACGTATTATTTTGATTGAGAATAGATAAGGCTTTCATATTTAACTTGTATTACCTGTTTATAATTTCATTTTTAATTTTCGTAAAAAAAAATTACTTAGACTATGGATTCGGAGCATGGGAATTTGGCATTCAAAATATTTCTGTTTTTCGTTAAATAAATAAAAGAGCCCTATTTAATAATATCTTTTTTTATGTTTTTATTTGGGGAAATATTCTTTATAAATGTCAGGTGCCTGTGACTTGGAACTTTTCTGGGTTTTATGTTGGCAATAACCTAGTTCCTAAAGCAGATAAATTGATCAGTGAGACGTCAAGGACACACATTCTCCTGCAGTGATTTCAAGGTAGGTGGCTCTGTGATTGACACGGTTGATGTGTGGTTATTTCTATAAAGAGAAATGCTTGACACTTTTCTTGAATGAACAGAATCTGTGTTTATTTTGTTGACTACTGCACCCCTTTCAAACAGGAAGTTGTTCTTAAGGGAAAAAAAGCTTTTAATACATGTAACTAGGTTCCATTTTCTTTTTAGAGAAAGATTATAAGACCAACTTTTATATTTTACGACCATGTTCTTATAATTATGGCAACAAAACAGTCTTGTCCTTGCTACAGCATCAGATAGAAAGATGACAGTCAAGGAATAATTAATTTCCTGTTTATTTTTTAAATTTACAAAAATCAACAACAAAATCATACATATACATGTAACAGGGGGCCTTTATATAATTCCCTGCATGTAACAACATTATTGAAATCTGATTACATAATACAATTACATACATGTACATGTATTACATAACAATTAATAAAGTTAAATGGTTTTCAATCACAGATTTTAAAAATATTTTCAATATAAAAAGTAATGGCAAAAGGTCTGGTGTGTAATTTTTTTCATGTACATATATTAATGCTTTACAAACAACTCTGAAATACGGTTATAAATTCAAAAAAAAATATTTTTTTTAGTTTTTTATTTAATTACACAAATTTCAAATTGTTCACACAACTTGATATAGCACCATTCTGTTAATGACACATTTACAATTATAGTTTACTTAAAATATTGATGCATTCTACATTATAACTGATGACCAACATTTAATTGTCATTTCCTTTATTTAATTCAGGGACAAACATCTCAAGAGTGTGACTTGAAACAAAATGCATGTATTTTTTAAGTTAAAAAAAATGATATTAATAATATATCTGTTGAAAATTTACATAAAAACATATCTCTAAAATCAAAGTACATATATTATTATTTTTACAATTAATATAGGAAAGATTAAATAAAAAATATTTTCAAAAGATCCCAAAATATAAGAAAAAATGTGTTTTGCATAAGTCTGAGCAATTTGTCTTTTGACAAACTGAATCATATAATATCAAGATTTGTGAAAGAGAAAGAAGAAATCCCTGGATTTTTTTTAGAAGAAAACTTTGCCTGGATTCAGGATTCCGTTAGGATCAAGCGTCTGCTTCAGTTGCTGCATGACCTGAATTCCTGTCTCACCGATTTCTCGTAGCAGCAGTTCGCGCTTCCCTAGACCAATACCGTGTTCACCCGTACAGGTGCCATCCAGTTCCTGGGCCAATCTAAATATAGCAACGAAGTCAATATTGAGGGGAGATATTGAAAAGGAAGATTAAAGTAATAAAACTCTCTTATTTTAAAAAGTGTTTTCTGCACAAATCAAAGTTGTTGATTGTTTTGCTTCATAATGCATGGTTTGCTTTCAGTTGTATTTTATACTGGCTTCCATTGATATGATCCTATTGAAGCCCTTTCAATGTCACTGCTATATGGACATTTGAATCAAATTACATTTAGATTTCACAAAGCTTCAATCAAAAAAGAAGTTTAAAGAGGTTTCATCAAATACATTTTCATTTTTTACAAAAACAACTAGATTTGCATTTTTTACAAAAAAAATGGACTTTGACCCAATTTTACAAGAATTTACCAAAATTCAACATTGGCAATAACGTCTGAAGAATTGATGCTAGCTCTTTCATACTTTACATGTTTATTCACTCTGATAAGACCTTTCCATGGATATAAATATTTTTGACCTTTTGGCCTTGACCTTTAACTTTGACCCACTTAAAAACTTTAACCTTGGACATAACTTTTGAACAGTAAGTACTAGTACTAGTATATTTCACAGGTGTATTCCATTTGGCATTGCTTTCCTTTTTATACCCAAAAATTGACCTAATTTTGGAAAAAAATTATCTTGGCAACAACTTTTGAACAGTTGGTGCAAGGGCTTTAATACTTTACCCTTGCATTTCTTATGACAAAGCCTTCCCCTGGGTACCTTTAATTTGACCCTTTGACAGTGACCTTGAACTGACTTGCATTTAAGAAATTAACCCCAAACTGTCACCAAAAGCTGTCACACTGGGAAATCAGTGTATCACAAACACTGTATCTAGTTGATTTTAGTATCTGACAGTTTATGAAGATTTTCTTTTTCATCTATTCAATCAAGATATTCAACAGATTTATCCTAAATGAACATAGTGTGCATCAGTACATAAATAAATGATATCCTATTATGCCTTTTCTCACAAAGTTACTCCATTTATCTCAATGTACACAGTTTTGAATAATATACCAAGTATCTTAATGCTCACCTTTAAATTCATTGTATGATACATCATATAAGCATTGTGAAATGTGTGTATTTGTAGATTTATAAATACAATGTAGAACGAGTGGTAAAAAGTGGTAACGTAATGTTGCAAAAGTGTGTGTAGAATAATAAAAAGCTTGCATTTTTTAAGGCTGGGTGGTGGGTCTATAATGATTTATTTTGGGGTTACACTTACACTGCCACTCGGTGAGATATATCCAACACAGTTTGAACTTCTTTCTCATTTGTGTGGTCCATAATAAATAAGATGTGAAAATTCCCATCACCCACATGGCCCAGTATATAAGCACCTGGAAGGACAAAGAGTAATACTTACAATGCCATTTTTACGGATACGTCATGGACAATTTTCACTTCATCTGGGTTGTTTTGATCAACAGGGAAGAAGACATGGAAGTTTCCGTCACCCACATGCCCTACCATGGGACCTGAGGGGTAAAGTGTGCATGTTAATTTTCATGATATCCATAAGTCTCTGATGAACCTGTAGCTCAACTGCTTTGTACTTATGATAGTGGAAGAGAAAAATTGTATCTTGACTTAAGGCACTTTTTGACAAGTTTTACATTTAAAAAGAATGAACTTGTCATGTTGCTTTCTAAATCTGCAATAAATTTAATTGAATCAAACCAAAACTGGGAGAACTAGCATTTTCAAAAGAATTTCACATACAGGTATTACCTTTCTGATACAGCAACATTGTTCTTAAAATTTTGTAAAAAAAGAAATAAATAAAATAATCATATTAAGATATCTTTATCATTATGATGCATTCATTTTGAAAATGTGTAATTTATAGTATTTTGTATCTTATTCGGTAAATAAAATATGTAAATTTCCGATCATATTTTTAACTGATACAAGTTATAGCATGTATTTCTTAAATTCATTGTATTTGACCCAAAACAGCAATATTTGTTTACCAGAGGTAAAAATGAACAGTCCTTAAACATGTTTTCAAATATTTACAAAAAAGAACTGTCATCCAAAATAAGTTATACCCTGTATAAAAATCAGTAATAGCTTTTCAGTGACTATGATTACCACTTATTAGTTTCATATTCTGCATAATTATGTATGATAAATATGGCAGTGTGCCTTTATAAAAATGGAAATATTTCATCTTTTGACATGTGCATGTGATTTCACTTTGTCATCTAAAGTCAACACTTTTTCTAAGAGAGGAGGAAAAACAAGTCTTACCTATAATGCCAGCTTCATCAATGTATTTCTTGGACTCCACAACCACCTGTGGTAGATTGGACACGGGAACACAGACATCTGTGGAGTAAGGCTACAATGAGGAACAAAATTTGTCACTAAATCCATGAAATCCTACATCATATAGCATGCATGGTCACCTAAATTCAAATATATTTGCCCCAAAGAGCTCTTGGCTCTTTTCTCATTTTTTATGTTAAAGAGTTTTCATTACCTTGCACCCTGGTCTGAGTGCCATACAAGCGTACAAGATGTCATGCCTTGTCTTCCATAGGCGGTTCCTCTCATCAACATCTGTGGCCCATCTGAAGTCAGAGCCTCCATTCATCTTCACAATCTCACCTTCAAACATTTTATACAAGTTAGCTAATATAAATCATACTGAAATTTATCAATATCATATTCAATCACCGAACCATCTTTGGGAATTTATTTTGACATATGCACAAATATCTTTAAAATATGAAAGAAAAAAAGTCCTTTTACTTACCAACAATTTCAGCATTTTCGTCCAAAGACCTGGGGCTCCCAGAAAATTCCAGAAATAGTGATGGGGCTACTCTCATGTCCATCTTGGCGTATTTATTGCAGGCATCAACAGACACCTCATCCAAGAACTCTGTAGCAGATGTTATTACAGATCACACAATGTCAACATTATACTGTAAAATTTACAGGAGGAGACAAATAATCTCATAAAACTTGGTGACTCCTACAACAAAATGAGATTTCCAAACTGCAAACCTTTATCTTTTATCATTTAAAAATTATGTCACTCTTATAATGTTACTAAATTATGGTATGATCTTTCAAATGCAGATTTTGATTTAAAGCACATGTACCAGTACATCATTCTTAAAAAAGTTAATTTTTTGTCTAAAGTAATCACTGTGACTGATTTGAAAGAAATTTTAAGAGAAAGAGAGAAAAATACTCAACATTAGCCTCATTTAAAATTTTATAGGCACCACTTGGTTTTTCCTGTTCAAAATCTCATATCAAAGAATGACTATTTTAAATTTATTCTACACAACTCTAAACACTGGTTGTTCAAACTTTCCTTCCATGGCATGATATTGCATAAAACAATTTAATGTCAAGGGAGACTACTCTGTAATACCGTTGTATATACATATTTAACTTTTAGATAAAATAGATATAAAAATAATACCAATTCTTGCCATGGGGATCCCACACTGAAGAACCTGTACAGTAGTGTCCACAGCTGACTGAATACTCTCAAAGGAACACACCGCAGACACCGACTGAAATTATTAGTGCACTTTATATCGTTTACATTCTTAATCTTAAATTCATGTGTACATACTAAGTATATCCACAGAAGTACAAAATCTGCAGGATTGATTTGCATCCTCATCAAGATAAACAGTATCTAATTCGAGTGGAGGGAGATAAATATGACAATTTGCAGTAAGAAGTCATAAATTACTTTCAGCTTAATAAATTCATACTGTAAAACGAGAAAATTTGGCGCATACGTATTTTAGCGCAAACGCAACTGGGAATGCATTGGCGCAAATGAATTTTAGCGCTTGCAATTGTCATTAAAATATATAGACCTAAATGTGATATTTTTTTTCTATCCACACCCGTATTTGACTTTTTGGTTATTCAGGGACGGAAACACGATAGCACTTCCCTATATAAGTAAACATTCGTCAACTTTACCGTAGTGTTGCAATTACATGGATGTGACACAATGTTAAACTTCATTTTATTTTTATTTCAAATAAAAGAAATGGAGTATTTACGCATTTTATTCAAACTAAAACAATGCATGCATCGAAAGAAAGTTACTTGGATAAACGGTTATCATGATTAGGTATTGTCTGCAAGCTCAATCGCCATGCTTGATTGCATGGCGATAGATGATTGACACGCAGAGAAGCCAAATTTTGAAGGTGCTAATGATAAGAACCAGGTAACAACTAACGGGGTAATAATAGTTTAATTAAATTATAATTTGGCAGATCTTTCTCGATCGATCCTACCAAATTAAGTGTGCAGTGCTAGTGTGTTTATAAAATCCAACGACCCTTCGACATTACGTAAGATTTCACACGTTCCGGTTTACATTTACTTATGTAAAAGCTTTGAACACACACAAAAAATAATATTTAGAAATCTGTTAGCGCACAATAAATTTTAGCGTACAGAGGCTCTTTAAAATTAGTAGTGCGCCAAATATTCTCGTTTTACAGTATCTACTTTCATTTGTGCATTAACAAATCCACATGAACTTTTATTTGTGCATTTACAATAAAATATTTTCTATTCAGTATACACTTACTCAGAATATTAATAAAGCAGCCAACTACTCACTGACTCTGGTATTCCATGAAGTCTAAGTGTTGCCTTGGTGATAATTCCCAAAGTTCCCTCTGATCCAACAAAAAGATTGGTCAAGTTATACCCTGCTGAAGTTTTTCTGAAGAAAAAAGGTCATACTATTGAAGGCTCTAAGGTGTGAAGACAGTAATTTGAAAAATTAGTCTACCTAATATACATGTTACAAGTGAAACAGTTAGTTTTTGTAATATTATATGACATTTTATCAATACTGAAAATGATACACATTGATATGCTGTAGATTTCCAGAATATTCATCCTTTTTTTTCTCCTGTCAGTATATAGTAAACAAGATCTCTTGATTTTTATTCTTAACTTGGCATTTGTGAGTGAATCCTTACTTGGTACGTCTGCCCTCTCCTGCTGTATGAATTATCCTGCCATCAGCCAGCACCACCTCCATGTTCATGACATTTTCTCTCATTGTCCCGTATCGGACAGCATTAGTTCCTGAGGCACTGGTGGAGCACATTCCACAAAGAGAAGCATCCGCACCAGGGTCTGTTAAAAAAATATAAATCTATCAGTAAACTTGGACTCGTCTAATTAAAATTAAGTGTTAGATCACCTTGCATACTGCTAGTATAGTGAGTATGTGAGCAGATTTAATATCCAATTTTTTTTTATTAAATTGACATGGACAAAATAGAATTTTAATACATGGGAAACATGCCCATTTACTGTCATTAAATAACCTCTAAAAGAAAATGTTTGATACACATGCTATGTATACAAGCTTTTATATGATTACATTACCTATTGGGAACCACAATCCAGTGTCTCTGATGTAATTATTGAGGGCCTTTCTGGTGACCCCACACTCCACCTGACAATCAAAGTCCTCAGGATGTACTGATAGAACCTTGTCCATCTTCATTACGTCCAGGCATACCCCACCCTAAAAACAGAATTAGAGCTATAAGCATTGATAAACACCTGGTCAATTTTTTAAGTACTACATTTTCTTTAAAATTGTTCACTCAAACCTTAATTGTTATTGCGGAACACTATCAGGTAAACCTGAAGGAATATGGCGACTTGCAGTTAACTTTGACATATCAATGGTTCAACTGTTTCATTTTTATACCTTTATTGCCGTGATTCCTCCCTCAAGGCCTGTGCCACTGCCGAATGGAATCAGGGGAACTTTGTGTTCGTTACACAACTTGGCCACACCAGACACCTGCTCCACACTCTCAGCAAAGGCCACAACTTGTGGGGGAGCACATCTTAAATAATTTTTTTAATGTTTACTGGTCCATAGTTTCAATTTTTTTTTGTATTTTTTGTATTTACAGACTAACCGGTTACTACATGCACTTTGGCTTCACTTGTTGGGTTTTGGATAAAGCAAAAGATGGCTCAATAAAAAAAAATTTGAACAAAGAATTGTCTCATGAACACTGGTTTGAACATTTTGGTTTTAAAAATACTTTATTTTCATTGTCAAACTTCAGATGTAATTTATAATAAATGCAACAATTGTAACTTGTTTTTATCTTATTTACATGCATTATTGAAGTCATGAAAATATTTAGTTTTGCAGGTGAGAAATGAGTCTGAGAGTCAAGAGTCAAATAGCAAATTGTGGGAACCAATACTATTAAAAAGACTAATCCTAATAGTATCCTCTAACAAGAAAAAGTTAACCCCTAAAAATGAATTATTGTATTATACTCTAAAGAGATGTACAAGTATATTGATACAATAAATGACAGTGTAGCTTTGATTTTTATACATACTTATGGTACGACTCGTCCCTTCCATGCTGCTCCCGCACAGCATTAGCCTCCGACACATTGTTTTTACCCACAATCCTCTCCAAACTCTGTACTAAATTATTAGATAAAGGGGCTATTTTCTGGGCTGCCTGAAATAATGATGTCAAACTCTGTTTAATAACACCCAAAGCTAAAATACTAATTAATGCACCCTCATACACATATGATTGTCCTTTTGAATATCTTTGCTATCGTCACTCTATTAAGTTCATCAATTTTATCAAAGTTTTATGTTAGTACTATTCCTCGACATTCTATCTTATGCAAATTAAGCTCTTTCATTGTATAATCAATCTAGTTCATATCAACTGTACAAATATGTATGTATGTTAATGGTGAACTTTTGAACTCTTAATTTGTCCTACACTTATAGATAACAAAGTTTTTAAACTCACAGATCATGCAGATGCAGACTAAATATAAACTGTACATTTTTTCTACATGAGCATCAATTTTACCAATAAACACTTTGATAAACATTTCTATAATGATGGGGTCAAAATCTGAGACATATATAAATAATAATATCAGGCCAGGAGTACATACTATATAATAAACTGATATAAGCAGATTCTGTACTTTAACTTGCTACTCCTTTGATCCTGATCAGTTACATGCATATGTGCAAATGTATCATTTCAATTGGTAATGGGCACATTAGTTGAGGAAACATTTTAGTTGCTTGAGGGTCTAGAAAAGAGACATTTACAAAGATGTACTGCACAGCCTAGATCTTGGATCTAAGGACATGATCTAAATTACATGTATATAGTTAACTGTTTCAATGTCCACAAGGGTAGAAACAATATTATTTGAAGTGTTGTAAATTTTGTCTCACCCCTTTTGGAATATTAGGGACTTAGATGAAACAATTCAATTTTTTTTTAAATTTCAATTACATATGCTATAATTCAAAATTAGATATTTAAAAAAAAAAAAGAATCACACCGAAAAAAGTAAGATACGTTATCAAAAGATATATCCTTTTACATGTGCTAGCTATATCAAAGATGAATGACAGATGAATGAAATATTTATGTTACTACACATTTACAGAATTGAGGAAGAAGGACACATGCATTGTTGACCTTATCAAGTTTACTATGCTCAATATACAATTCCCATGAGTAGTTATGACTTATGATAAATACATGTACAAATAAGCAATTAATAAATGAATACTAACATAATAAAAGTATTTATCAGTTAACTATTATTTGTTCCTTGAAGGTTAGCAAAGAGGAGGAAAAATATATATCAAGACTTGAATCATTTCACTTGGCTAAACAGCATGGAAATTGAAATATGGTAAAGAAATATAACAAAATATGCAGTCTGTTAAAGTAGTTTACTGTATTATGAGCAAACAAATATCCCAAGTAATTAATTGTACTATAAGAGAATGAATGGTTTATTTTCTTAAAGGATTTGACTACATCCTACAAACTGTAATGGGAGAGGAGGAATATACAGCGGACCAATTTAATTAAAATTAGATCTTCCATCCGCTCCCACACTTTTTATATGTCGTGATAGTGAAATAGAGGTCTGGCTATAGTTAGATTGGCAGCAAACCAAATCAGGATTCGAATCCAGACCCCCAGAATCTCCGGTCAAGTGCTCTATCGACTGAGCTATCTGGCCACAGAGGATCTAACCCTGCACTGCAACAAAACATTGAAAATGTACATAAAACATTCTAAAACCTTTATCATTGTTTTTAATCTGCTAGTTCAATAAAGACATAATCTACTGTTAGTATTGTTGTTTTTAATCTGCTAGTTCAATAAAGACATAATCTACTGTTAGTATTGTATGGCAAAAACATTTAGAAGTTTGGTTCCCATTTTTTAATAACATGCACCACTCATTTAATGAGGACAACTGCAATATTTTTTTAAGTGTGCTAGCTAATTTACAGCATTAAAACTTCATCACCTCAACATGAATTCAATTTTTATTTAGACACAAAATAGACATGCATTCTGCAGCATTCATTTTTTCAAATTAATATTCGGATCCTTTTTCTATAATTTATTAAATATACAGAAATTTATAAATATGTCAGATTTGTTACCCACAAAGGAAAATTCAAATTACTTCATTATTGTGAGAATATTATAACTGTTTCTTAAAGCCATGTATCCCTATTTCAAAGAATAGCCCAGGCCTATATGATTTATGTCAGAAACTAAATATTCGTACAATTAAGTGTTGAAGCAAGAGTCTAGTATACCGAACCTGTGCTGTGAAAGATCTCCCACTCTGGTGACGAGAAAACTTAAGAACAGCAGGTGTCACTTGTGTAATGCGTCTCGAGAGCATTTTCAAATGTTTTTAATAATCTTATCAGCTGCGAAGTTTGACTTTCATTTTTAAAATTAGAGTAACTCATTCGTAAATTATTCGAAAGATAACATATTTGGAAAATAGAAATAAATATCGTACTTCTACAATTTTCTCAATGAAATCATGATATTTATTGTACATCTTATTTTAAGTGATTTTACTATCAATAAATATGACATTGTTGTTCTAAAGCAAAGTTATTTATGCACGAACTAACAAAATTTTCCCAGAATTCCACTGAATTTCCTCACATGTGCCTCTTTTTCGGGATCCAACATGGTTCTCAGTCAGGTGAAGATGTGTCTCCAAATTTAGTTCAAATTAGCCCTATTCCCCAAGTTTATCCGTGTTTCAAATAAAGAGAAAAAGAATCTAACTATTTATTGTGTAAAATTCTGTCCTCTTATTCAGCATGATATTCGTATTACATTTAAAATTTGATCTGTTTTGTGTGGAAGTAGTCTCATTCGAGTTTTCTCAGATTATAAAGTACAGAAAGAAATTGAAATTCTTTTGGTATACATTGTTGATTTATATGTTTTTTTTTTCTTTACAATTTATTTTGACTTGAATTACAAAATGAGTTTCACTGTAGTAATAAAGTGAACTTTAAAAATCTTAAAAGGGGGGGGGGGTCACATCCTTTAGCAATGAATCGTAAATCCTCTTGATATTGAAGAAATTCTTAATACTTTTAAAAAGAAAAAAAGCAGCACATAGTGAAAACATTCTATTTTTGTTGTAGTTCCGCTTTGTGGAAGTTGGCCGTGTGGCCATGATTGCCTATGGCCCTGATGCTGGCAAGCTGGCCGTTATTGTTGATGTCATTGACCAAAACAGGGTGTGTTGAAATTAAATGAGTTAATTTGTCTTAAAATTCAGTATATGTTTTATGGTGTGACAAATTGACAATTTGGGCATGCACAGGTTTTAATAAATAGCAAGAGACAACTCCTTTGAGATGTTCTCCATCTCGTTTATGTCTAATCTTCCAACAAGTATCAATCTTAAGTAATAATTTAAGAAAAATGATTTAAAATGTTACTGTATACAGGGAAATTTTCACCCCCATTTGATTTTCACCCCTTTCGCCCTTTTCATGATTGGATGAATTTAAAATTGGGCGAATTCAAAGAACACAGCATAATTTCTTAAACAGAACTATGACTGGGGGAATTTAAAACGTGTCAACATTGCTTACAAGTGCTTAAGGTTGAAAATAACACAGGGTAAAATAACCCTGTATACAGTATTTTCGTGGGAAAAAATTTCTCATTTGTAAAACAAGATTCATTTGTTTGAAATTTCAAGAAGTACTGTTGTGTGCAAGTAATCTTGATTGTGTTTATCGCAAATCTCGCTTGAAAGTATTACAGTTCGGCCGAAATAGCGTTGCCTTGAGTGATGACAATGTTGGATTCGACAACTGAACAATTTGAATCGTGGATTTCATTTTATAAAACAAGCGTTTTAATTGGTTGATTAGGACCTGAGAAAAATCTAAATCCTTGTGCTTTTTTCAGGCAATTTTTACTGTTACGGCAAATATTATTCATATCACTTATAATTCATGTTAAAAATAAATAACATTACAATATTTACCAAATCTAAGTATGTTTAATTTCATTGATGAAAATCCAACATGGCTGAACAACAAAACCTGCTTGAACTTCACTGAAAAACATGCAATAAACAAACTGAATTTTATCACAATTTTTGTAAGAAACTTTTAACGGCCATATTTTCAATTGGGACTGGGGCCGAATTTCAGCCCCAAATCGGCCCTAAAAAAATCACTGATAAGAAATATCACTTATAATTCATGTTAAAAATAAATAATATAACAATATTTACCAAATCTAAGTACGTTTAATTTTATTGATGTACTAAAGAAAAAAACGAGAGAAACAGCCGTGTTCATGTGGCCCAGGAACATGCATCTGATACGAACATGACATGTATTCAGTCAACTGCTGCCAGTTGTTGAACATACATTATACAAATTACCCACACTCACAATAATTTACTAAGGTACATGTATTGCACCTCGTCATTTCCATCCAGAAATAATTTCGGACGATCTGATTTTCAGTCGGGCTCGCCCAAATGACGACCTGGGACAAAATGGGAATATTTAAAATTTTAATAATGATGTTTAATTTTTTAAAAAAAGAACTTCATAGGGCCTTGAAAACATATTTTTTTGTAACCAAACCAACCCTACGTGTTCAAACATACTTAGTGCAATAAGCACTTTTTTACCAGTCTTTAAAAAAGTTTTATTTGAGATATAAAATATGTCAGCTCACATCTATCACCTTAAATATAAAGAGCAATAATCATCATTGTAACATCTTGCATTTCCCCCTACAACTTTCTGATCATCTGATGATCGTTTTTCTGCTGCAAGACAGCCATGTTGGGTGTCCACTGTAATATCACACCTGGTTAATTCAGTCCAGGGATATTTGGCCCTCTTTATTTAGACCTTCATGGTAAGTGAAAATGAATGCTGTACATTTGAGAAAGTGGGTTTACATAATTTTTAAATTCAGGCACCTATTTTAATTGGAAGAAAAAGCACCAAAAATCAGATTCGTTTTTACAGCTGTTGGATTTTGATTTACAGTGGGCATTCAAAAAGCACCAATCAGATTCTTTGTTGGATTTCGCAATTGAAGATCAGTAAGATTCAATTGTATTTCAGTCAGATTTATCAGTTTCGTCACTCAACGCATCACAATATCGGTCAAAGTGTATACTATCGAGCAAGATGTGCGATAAGAAAGAAAATTTGCATCATTACTGAATTAAAACGTAATATTTATCGGAAGAATATTATGGCAGAAATGAGTTGCGATACTGTTAGATGTGTTCATGTATTCTTTTGTGACCCGATAAAAGTGTCTACATCAGTCCTATATCACACATAAAATAACTTGCATGTACATTTCAGATCATTGATTGCACCTCAAATTTTGTTTAATGTGTAAGTATTGTTCCATTTGCCTAGGCTTTAGTGGATGGCCCTTGCTCAGGTGTATCCAGACAACAGATTAACTTCAAGGCCCTGCAGCTCACCTCCATTATGATGAAAATACCCAGAGGTTTACGCCCAGGAAATCTCGCTAAAGCCTGGGAGAAACAGGAAGTCAAGAAGCAGTGGGATAGCACAACCTGGGCCAAGAAAATTGCAAGCAAGGAAAAGGTTTGTTCTGATGATTACATTTTAAGGTGGCAGGAGGAGGGGTGTTGAAATAAAGAAAATGATTGAATTTGTCACATGGATGAAGAGCCTAATTATTGATAGGAATTGCCGTCAGATTAATGCTGCTGACAACAACACGTCAGACATGTGACATTTATTGTTTATTCATTTGCATTCAGTTACACAGAAGAATATTACATCTTGCATGTAAGCAAAAAATTCAATGTGTAACTTGTTTTTTTTCTTTCCCATTTGAACATTGTTTTAAATGTTACAAAGTTTGATACTAATATTATATTAAATACCATATTCACCGTTTAGCAATCTTCATCGTCAGATTTTAACAACAGTATTCATTGAGTTTTCTTTTCTATGCATAGCATTTTTTTCCTGCAACTGATAATCAATGTCTCATATCAAGCAATATAAGATTATTTTGATTTTCAACATACTGTAAGCATAATAATAGGTAATTATATTTTAGTGCCTTCCACACTGCATCTTGTCCACTTATTCAAGTTCACCTTAATATTTAATTTGATCATACTGAAAAATATACAGTGAGCAGCATTGCTCAAAGTTTCCTAATTGAAGATTTCACGAACTAGCTGATGAGGAAGATTAAGCTAAGTTTTGACTTTTGAGATCCCTATAAATTTGCATGTTCATGAACTTTACTTAAAATTGACATAAAATGTTTAAAATGAACACCTTGAAATTATTTTTTTTCTCATATCATGGGGAAAAGGGCACATGGTGCATGGTCTTAATAATACATGTAGCTAACTAGATATCAGGACTTGCTGCATGGATGAAGAACCTGAAATTGATAGGAACTGCCTTCAGAGACATATACTGCTGACATCTCCATGTCAGACATGCAGCTACATTAAATCAGTAACTCACAACATGATTTACTCTTCATTTGACTAACATTGTGGGTTTTGTTTCAGCAGGCTCAGTTGAATCACCGATTTACTCTCTATTTGACTAACTTTATATCTTTTATTTCAGCGGGCTCAGTTGACAGACTTTGACAGGTTCAAGCTCATGAAGGCCAAACAATCTGTAAGTTGTTCAAGCTTACTTTGTATGTAGGATTCACGCATTACAGTGATAATCTGAACTATTTTGTGTAAAAGTCTATTTTTTTTATTGAAATGCATTTGTGTAGGTTTTTGTTAGAACATAAGTTTGTCACATGGATGAAGAGCCTTATTATTGATAGGAATTGCCGTCAGATCAATGCTGCTGACAACAACACGTCAGACATGTGAATAAAAAATGTATTGAAGATGGTGAACATGTATATACTTTGTTTTTAAAGTACTTGCTTCATTCTTTTCAGAGAAATCGTCTGATTAATGTGGAGTTTGGAAAACTGAAGAAAACAAACAAAAGACCTACTCCTAGAATACGAAAGAGGAAGCCTGTGAAGAAATAAACTGTTATCATCAATAAATTTGTTGATGTATATTATTTTTGTTGTTTTGAGACTTTAATTTAGATGCAGATAGATGCATTAAAAATTAAAAGGTAATACATGTATGAGGAAGAGTTAAAGATGTCTGGACACCGTGTTGAAGTTTATATCCAACATTTTTGATAGGATTCATATAATGTATGTTGTTAAAGTCTTTCAGATGTCAGGTATTAAAAAAAAGGCATGCGTAGAGACTTTTTTCTGAAATTATAAGATTTTGGGCATGTTTGTTGAACATCAAAAAGGAATAGTCGCCTGCATGGTGCAGTGGTTAGAGCGTCTGCTCTAGAGTCGCAGTGTAAGGAGTTGATACTTAGTCCCGGGTTTGAATCCCATTTTGGGATGTAGAGACCGTATAAACTGAGGTCCTGTGTCACGGTAAATGCTGGCACGAAAAAGATCCCTCACTGCTCAATGGCCCTAAGTGCCGAGTATGGGACAATTTGCAGCTCTCCACTGGCAAGTTGTGGCATCTCCATACGAGTGAAATATTCTCGAAAGGGACATTAAGCAACAAGCAAACGCATATCAAGAACATCAAAAAGAGATGTGCAGGGAAAAGTCATTGAAGCCTGTATGTGACTGGGTAAAAAGACACGCTGTGATGTTTAAAGACCCTTGCTCTGACTTCAAATGACAAAGATCCTATGGGATTGATTCTCTGTCATCTGATTTGAGAGAGCTTGTGGACTTATTTGAAGTATGGAATGGCCATATGTACATGTATTACATGTACTAGATGCATCTGTAAAATAACCTGCTAAGTTAATGGTGTATCATTAAATGCAACATCAATTAAACAAAGAAGAAGGGTGGATAAGGTGGACGAAGTGCCTTTAGTGCGACTGATAAGAAGTAAAGAATTTAATCTCAATCATATCCAAATTTTTTTTTTTGATATTTCATCTAATATTAAAATATACTTAATGAAAAATCTCCATAATTTACAAAAATCTCACCAAGACTGAAAATATTTGTCTATGAAAAAGCATACACACTAAAAAGAACAGAAACGATCATTTTCTCATAATTTAACAAAATTTTTCAATATGACTGGGTCTTCCCTCCAATTTTTGAAAGATTATCCTAAAAGTTTGCAATAAAATATATATATATTGGCTTTGCAATAAAATATACATTTTATATACATTTTTTATACAAAAACATTGAGCGAAGACCCACTATACCTTAAAAGTACACTTTTATGACAAATCATTCGCATCTTACCGAAAAAATCTTCAAGTCCAGTAAGTCAAGAGTCTGATTTAATGTCCGAAATATTCATGAGTCATGTAGCATAGTGGTTACCGTTGTAGTCTCAAAGCAATATGATACGTCGGATTTTTACACAGGCACCTGAAGTGTGGATAATCCCCCCCTCCTTTTTTTACTGAAAAAAAAATGTAAGAGTGTATAATATCTCAAAAATATAAATTTTCCCCGTCAAACACATCTATTATATGCAAACAGATTGTACTTTTTCTCATGTTTAAAGAATGGCTCTATTCGGTATAATAAAAATACAAGGGCCATTCTTTAAACATGAGAAAAAGTACAATCTGTTTGCATATAACGACATATTGATGTGTTTGACGGGGAAATTTTATATTTTAGAGATATCATATACTCTTACATTTTTTTTCATTAAAAAAAGGAGGGGGGGGGGGTATTATCCACAATTCAGGTGCCTGTGATTTTTATTGCTAGGGTTCGAATCCCACGAATATCATCTTATATTTTTTATAAAAGAAAATTTTAACGTGATTTTTTTTCTCTCAGAAAAGTTTTATTTTTCATAATTTCATAAATTTTAATAATGAGAAGTTAATTTAAATACTCAATTCACATATTGAATATGATTTCTGAATATCCGACGCTATAGGCATTCTGCCCGCCTTGTTCGCCCATCTTCTTTGCCCATCTTTTTTAAATAATTGGTTGGTTGCCCTCTCCTAACGACTAAATCTGGCCCGACTCAAAATTTTTACATTCCAGGACTCCATTTTTTAAATTCCTTTCACTCCGTCAACAAATATGTTGAAATTTTCTCGGAAAAAAGATTTTCCCACCCACCTACCTACCCAATCAAAATTCCCCTGAGTCGGAAGAGGGCACGCAAACGTTTTTAAAGATGGCCTCATTTAAAATAACTTTGCATGGGATTGTCGTTTCACAGAAAAAGCTATAGAATCCGAAATATTAGCTCACATGAAAAGGAAGCAGATCACCCGTTGAAATATTGCCGACTCGGCGTTAAACAATATACAATCAATCAGATCACCCGATGTGTATATTACATTTCGAAAAAATTACCACCACTCCCCCTTGCTTTTATAGCAGAACGTCTGATGGTCAGTCTATATTTCAGAATCTTTATTTCATAAATTGACATGCCAAGTCCGAAAAGAAAACAAGCAAGCAAACAGACAAATAATTTAAAGTGTGATGGAACATTCCAACAGGATAATGAATTTTAATGTAAAAAACTTTAAAAAAACAAACAAACAAAACATTGAAGATGTTTGTTTGTGAATACTGATGCCCCCGTACGGGGTAACTACACGGTAGCCAAGGTTAAAATCTATTTTTAAAAAGTAGTTCAAAGTCTAAGATCAATGTCAAAAGATCAACAAATATTTATACCAATTGAAAGGTCTGACCAATGTCAACACACGTGACGCATAAGAGCCCTATCACCAACTGTTCAATAGTTCCAGTCAATTAGGTTAAAAAAGTAATATTTTTTTTGTAAAAGTGGGTCAAAGGCGAGGGTCAAATTAGGCGGTACCCAAAGAAAAGTCTTGTCATACGGAATACACTTGTGAAAGATGAAAGCCATAGCCCCGCCGACTTAAAAGTTATGGGCAAGGTTAAAGTTTTTTGCGGACAAACAGACAGGCACGCGGGCGGTCAAATCAAATACATGTACAACTAGTGCTAATTGTAACGGGAACCGTTACAGATGTTCCCCAAACACTCCCCAACTCCCTTTCGGTGCCATATTCCCTGTAAGATTCATTAAATAAGACAAACTCTGTGCATTTTTGACTTTAACAACGTTTTCCCAGAAGGAAACCAATTATATTCAATTTTTAGCATTGCACCCAAGCGCATGTGAATGCATGTGCGTTATGACCATATCATCTTGTCTACACTATTTATATATTTTAATATACTATATATTAAAGCATTCAGTCCAAAAGTAATAAAAACCACTCATTCAAGAGTATTTTTAAAGATACTCGTTTCAAATGCACGCACGTGCGTGCACGTGCATGATGATCATACCTTCTTGTAGGAGTCCCTCACATCTATCTATGTTTTAAATCCCATCCTGTTTGGTTGAAAAACAAGGGAGTTATAGCTATTTAAAGTTTCAGCCAATCAGATTGCAGCACACGTGCATGCGCGTAATTTCATGATTTTTTTTATATCATTTTGTAGGATATCCTAATGCATGACTACATTTTAAATTTCAAAGAATTTCGTCAAAAAACAGAGGAGAAATAGCCATTTAAAGTTTCAGCCAATCAGATTGCAGCACACGTGCATGCGCGTGATTTCATGATTTTTTTTTCTATATCATTTTGTAGGATATCCTAATGCATGACTATATTTTAAATCTCAAAGAATTTCGTCAAAAAACAAAGGAGATGTTGCCATTTAAAGTTTCAGCCAATCAGCTTGCAGCACGCGCACATGCGCATGCTTTCATGAAAATTTTTATATATCATGCGGTAGATCTTCATAATGTAGGACTATGTTCAAAATTTCAAAGGATTATGACAAGAAACAAGAAAGTTATTGAGACTTTAGTTTCAGCCAATCAGAGCGAAGCGCACGTGCATGCGCGTGAGATCTTGCTATTTTGACCATGTCATCATGTCTGTACTACTAATATATCCTCACATTATGAGTTTCAAAGTATTTTATCAAAAAATAGAAAAGTTGCGGCTATATCCATTATATTGGTCATTTCACGTGTTGCACGTGCGCGCTCTTGCAAGCACGTGCGCGCAAAATGACCTTGATTCCGCAAATCTACATAACATGTCTACTGACCCTAAAAAGGTTTTACCTACATCGGACGAACAGGTTTACAAGATCATTCCCGGACAAAAAAGTACCCAGGAAGAAGAAGAAAAATAATAATAATAATAATAATAAGAAACAGAGTAAAAACAATATGTTCCCCAACTTCGTTTGGGGAACATAATAAACAAAAGCAAAACTCTCCCAGGAGCTAAAACGCTCATCTCAGTCACCTGGCTGTAGCCTTTTTGATTTAAAAAGAAATCTTAGAAAGTAAGACGAAAAAAAAACATAAGACAAAAAAGCCCTTGACACCAACCAACACTTGACTGAAATTATTCACATCTAACTCCGATAATTCAGAGGAAGTAATTCCCAAATAGATAATCACTTAACCTAGCTCAAGAATTTACCAAACACATGTACATTCATTTTTTCTATTAATCGTCCATTTTCTTATTTTATATTTTTCATGTATCATGTAATTCTTAATTATGTAAGTAAAAAAAACTAGACAAATGCAAAAATATTTTAAAGGCTACAGCTCCAACATTTGAAATAAAAACATTTTGCAGAAATTTTCTAGATCAGAATTTAAGATCTTACACCATTTGAATTTGTCATTGTCCCCCGCTTTCGCGAAAGCGAGGGGACATTAAATCTCATTCGTCCGTCCGTCTGTCTGTCCGTCAGTCTGTCCGTCCGTCACAAAAACTTTAACTTTGCCCATAACTTTTGATTCAGTGGAGCTATGAATTTCATATTTCATATGTGTTCCTTGTGACAAGACCTTTCTTTGGGTACCACCAAATTTGACCTTTTGACCTTGACCTTGGAGTTTGACCCACTTTTACACAAAAATTCCAAACTTTTACTTTGGCCATAACTTTTGAATGGTAGATACTAGGACTTTCATATTTCACATATGTATTCTTTGTAGCAAGACCTTTTATTGGATATCAGCAACTTTGACCTTTTGACCTTGACCTTGGAGATTTCCGTACTTATGAAAAAACTTTAACCTTGCCCATAACTTTTCAATGGTAAGGGCTAGGGCTTTCATACTTCATATATATAATTCTTGTGAGAAGACCTTTCATTGAATACCAAGAACTTTGCCCCTTGGACCTTGACCTTAGAGTCTGACCTACTTAAAACTTTGACCTTGGCCACAACTTTTGAACAGTAGATACCAGGGCTTTCATATTTCACATATGTATTCTTTGTGGCAAAACCTTTCATTTGATACGAACAACCTTGACCTTTTGACCTTGACCTTGGAGATTTTTTGTACTTATGAGAGAACTTTAACCTTGACCATAACTTTTGAATGATAAGGGCTGGGGCTTTCATACTTCACATATGTAATCCTTTTGAGAAGACTTTTCATTGGATACCAAGAACGTTAACTCTTTGACCTTGACCTTGGAGTTCAGTGATAATTTCTAAATCGTTGACTTATGATAGGGCGTTCATATTAGACACAAAATGTCATAAAAAAATGACATCTCACCCAAAAAGATACCGAAAGCGGGGGACCACAATTCTTTGAATTTGCTTGTTTCATTTAAAACTCCAATAGTTTTCAAGAAAAGTCAAAAACTGCAAGAGAATTAACGGACCTTGACATATCAGGAACCGTCACCCCATGAGGATCTGCACATGATATTGTTATCAAGCTTGTTATATATTTGTCCCCCGCTTTCGCGAAAGCTTTCGCGAAAGCGAGGGGACATTAAATCTCATTCGTCTGTCTGTCTAGCTGTCTGTATGTCTGTCCGTCCGTCACAAAATCTTTAACCTTGCCCATAACTTTTGATTAAGTGGAGCTATGACTTTTATATTTCACATGTGTATTCCTTGTGACAAGACATTTCTTTGGGTACCACCAAATTTGACCTTTTGACCTTGACCTTGGAGTTTGACCCACTTTTACACAAAAATTCCAAACTTTTTCTTTGGCCATAACTTTTGAACGGTACATACTAGGAGTTTTCCATTTCATATATGTATTCTTTGTGGCAAGACCTTTCATTGGATATCAGCAACTTTGACCTCTTGACCTTGGAGATTTCCGTACTTATGAAAAAACTTTAACCTTGGCAATAACTTTAAAACGGTAAGGGCTAGGGCTTTCATACTTCACATATGTAATCCTTGTGAGAAGTCCTTTCATTGGATAACAAGAACTTTGGCCTTCTGACCTTGACCTTGGAGTTTGACCCACTTTTTAAAAAACTTTGACATTGGCCATAACTTTTAAAAGGTTAGGGCTATGGCTTTCATACTTCGCAGATTTAATCCTTGTGACAAGACCTTTCATTGGATAACAAGAACTTTGACCTTTTGACCTTAATCTTGGAGTTTGATCTCCTTTATAAAAAGTTTAACCTTGGCCAAAACTTTTAAACGATAAGGACTAGGGCTTTCATACTTCACATAAATAATCCGTATGAGAAGACCTGTCATTGGATACCAAGAACTTTGACCCTTTTATCTAGACCTTGGAGTTTGACCTACTTTTTAAAATTTGGGTACCAATATATTTACTTTGCATTTAAGAAAATCTTCGCATTGTTGCCATAGGCGGTCATCGGTGGTTCACAAACGCATCTTGTTCCTTTTTACTTTTGATTGAGTAGTCATAGGGCTTTCATATTTGACATGTGCTTTACCTATGACAAGCTATTTCCGAGCATGCTATGATTTCTGACTCCTTGGCCTTACCGATTGACCTCATTTTTAAAAAAAAAAAATCAACTTTGGTGATAATTTCTAAATGACATATGATAGGGCGTTCATATTTGACATCTCACCCACAAAGACACCGAAAGCGGGGGCCACAATTCTTTGAATTTGCTTGTTTTTTCTGTTTGATAAAAAATTTGCTTGTCAAATTTTGCTTTAATTTCTGAGTTACAGTGAAACGCGATTACACCGATTTTTATGAACTCGCGTTTACAGCGAAGTGAATGCAATTTCTTGTGGCATAAAACATAAAAAATTAAAGTGAAATATTGGTTTATCACGCCTAATGTTTTAAGAATAATATTAATGAAAGACCTTGTTTTGATCAAAATAAAATGTGGAACGTTTGTCCTGCATTAATACTGAAGCCTGGTAGTTTCCGAGAAGATTTTGGGGGAAAAGTTTACGCGACAACGATGGACGCCAAGTGACGAACAGACAGGCCTTTTGATCTAGGTTACTTAGTTAAAAAGGATTTTATATACTAATCAAACACACACTGAAAACATGACAGAGGGTGAGTTATCAATCTGTTGAACAAATCCAAAGATTGGATTTAAAAGAAGAATTTTTTTTTTCAAGGTCGAAAACTCAATTTTAAATTATTCTATCCACGGCACACTACTAGCCTAATAAACAAGTTTACGTGAAATGTTTGTCAATATTATGACGTCACAATCAGTCTCGATGAGATTACGTCATAATAACCAAGAAAAGCTTGACTACAATACTATATTCTAATAATACAAAGCAAAAATGGGAGATGAAGGAAAACAGATGTCCCTTTACGGGAAATCATACCTGTCGCCCGAGGAAATGGCTGGCCTGTGGAAGAATGTTATCCAGGTATGTATACTTGTTGGCAATTCGAAGCGTTCCCTAGTTCCCAACATAAGTAAATAAAATGCATCTGGACTATGACAGCTGGTTCCATTGGTTATCGAAACTTTAAAGACGTAAGAATTTAGATAATTATATTTTTTGGGAATAATTTAGAGGACGGAAACCATTCGTCGCAACCATCTGGCAAATACAGGGGATGGGTCCAGACACTGGCCTGGAGTGAAGCAGTGGTCCCGCCATGAATTGGAAACTCTGAAGGACACGTTCTTTGGAAAGAGAACAAGGGGCACTGTGGTAATACTTTATTTATTTATTTTTTTAGTTAAATTCTGGAAAATAATATGAAATTCTTGAAGCTTTGCAATATATAGGATAATTAAATGCGAAGATAGCGGACAGTTATCGTGTGCCATGGAGGAGTAAGCATACCTTGTCGACTGGTCACGTCCGCTATGTGCTCCTTGTCGTGATGGATAAACGGAAAAAAGAAACACCAATCACTACCTAACAATATGTATTAATTAAACTAATAAAGGTCTCAGTAAATATTCCACTAGCGACAGATTTCATTTGTAAGCAAGTCTACCGAGTTTGCGACATGTTGATTTTAAATTACATATTATTGATATTTCCGTATCATCGACTTATTTGTCAATAGCTTGTTTCGTTTTAGAAACTGTTTGTACATGGAGGTACTCTGTGTATTGAATCAATTTGGAGACATAATAAACTCCATATACAAGTGATAATGGTATATTGAAAAAAAAAGTTTTTAGCAAGCGTTTTACTGAAAATTTAATGTGCATGGACAAAGATCATTTAGTGATATCTGTTCATTGTGAGGGTTTTACCGAAAATTATACTCAGTATTATTGTTTATATCTTTCGCTAACATCTATATAAATGAGGTTTATAGGGCTGATAAACATTACAATATCTTTTTGTATAAGTTACTAGTTTCTTTGCATTTTGTAGGTCGATAGTTTTTCGACATATGATAGACTGTTTCATCCAAGAGAAGGATACGATAGTAAGATTCATCGAGACGATCGGAACCACATCCTGAAAATCGGAATCGCTGTTCACGATGAGGTTGTATCCTACACTGTAAATTTAACATTTTTAGATTTCTTTGCTATAGAATTGACACACATGTATAGAATTTTATGTCATTGAACGAATTAAAACACACACTAGTGCTACTGTATGTTACTACATGTATACGGCTTTTCATATAAGAACCATCTGTCATCTCAAGCAAGGTGTAGAGGTTTAAGTCATATCATGTTTGTTTGTTTTTTAAAGTACATGTAGAATTTGCCCCTTATTATTATTTTTTTAGTTAATACTTAACATATCAAGAAGGTAGTCTAGTGTTTTGGGTTTTGTAAATTGACATACAGTTTGTTATATTGTGAGGAATATCCGAATGCTTGGATCATAAGTGCATGTATAGTACATAATAGTCATATGTAGAGGTTGAATCGAATCCTGGGGCATTAACAGTCCAGTCCCGGTGTATCTTAGTAAACTCGCATATATGCTTCGTTCTGTAGCAATGCTTTAATTGTGGTTTTCTTTGTATCCAAAGGTCAGATAACCTAGCTTATTACTGTAAATCATAAATGGTTACAAGGCCATAAGAACCAGGGACACATGGCGTCCGTGACCCCCCCCCCCCCCAATAATTTTACTAATGCTGTAGAACACTTTAATAATTAAGTTTTATGACCTTTTTCTATCTCTGTCAGGGAATTTTTTGGTAGTTGATAGTGCATGCCCCAAAAGAAAAATCTTTGTTTGTGCCCCCCCCCCCCCCCCACGAAATTGCCTGGGTTAAATACACAGTCACTTGTTTCGGTAATAAACTTTTAACCCATAGTATAATAATAACTTTCGCGTTATAAAGCAATTTTTGCTAGACAGTAATTTTCGCGTTAAAGCGCATAACTTACTTGTTCAGTTGTATTTTGGGCCATTGCAAGCTAAAATCTCAAGTTTTCTCGCTATCGTGTATAAACTCGTCATTGTCTTCCCACAACTTTTTAATTATGTGTAAAATTTCGTTTTCTTAACAACTAATTTTATATGTATTGTATGATGTTTTGTTGTGCAGGAGAAAAATAGGATATGGCCAGTTTTGAGTTCCTCAGCTTATGGACAAAGAGCAGAAAATATTCTGGAACCATTTTGTAGAGCGCGTGTCAGAATCGAACACGTGGCACAGGGCTTCTCCTACCCCCGCGGAACAGGACTTCCGCCGATTGAGAAACCATGAAATAAAGGCGGGATATTAATGTTCAAAATGAAAAAAAACAAAACAAAAAAAAACATTGTTACTGCACATATAAATTCAAGTCTAGTTTTCACAAAGTATATTTATAAAAAGATCGAAATGTAATTGTACGAAAAATTATGTTGAGACCGAAAATTAATTTGATTTTAATATCATGATTTCATATATTTCATACTGGAAAGGTATTTTTATTTTGAATTATTAAATATGTTCTTTTATTTGAGAGTTATAGCTCTTTTTGCATTGAATCATAAAGAAGCCAAAGGTTGTTCATGCATAAACATGTACTTGCTTGATCCATTGCAGCTTCAACAATGTTCAAACGAAGGCTTAATGTCCGACTTAATGCGACTGTATAGTTCATTATTGGAAAGCCCACAGAGATTACGATAATTAATCTCGTCATTAGACGTCACAATTACCATTTTCTCATTATACCAGAAAAAAGGTTCGCTCGCAAATATTGCCCGATTTTTAGTTTTGTTCAATTAATGACAGTTGGTAATTATCTAGTTTTAGCATACCGTGACGATTCAGAGAGAAAAAAATGCACTGATATAAAAAAAAATGTACAAAAATGAACAACCTTCTTTCAACAAAGTTGTGCATGGGAAATGGTCTATTTATTTGCAGGTGCATATCTTATGTGCATTTTCCCCCACCTTTTGCAACCTCACTCGATCGAACGAACGACCATCTATTTCTCATTCATTGAAGTTGATTATTTTAATGATCATAACACTGACTCAAGCATATATTTTAAGAAACCATTTAATATTTCAATCATAATATCATACTTGGTTATACAGCTCTAAGCTCGATCATTACGGCAAATTAAATCCAGATCGCAGCAATAATACATGTATTCATAATAACTATTTCATATTAAAGGACAATAAAGTAAATGCCTGAATGAAGAGAATTGAGAAGGAGTTATTGCCCCTGTCATCATTTTTAAAAGATTGAATAATTGATTAAATAAAGAAAAAGAAATTCCAAAATTGATTGAAAAATGTGCATCATAGGAGGGTGGAATTACCTTAAGCCAAAATTGATTGAAAAATGTGCATCAAAGAATGGTACTAACTTCTAAATTAAAATCATTTACAATTTTCTTCCAAACAAGTTTTCTCGGAAAGACATATTCATGGAAATTGTCATATTTTGGCAAACCTTTTCGCAAATAGTAAGCACATCTTTATCTGGAATGGTGACTCCCTGGTTAATTTTGTCAATATCGTATGCAACACAAAGTGCTTGATTAAACCCCAAAGTAGTTAATGAAAGATTTGGTCTCGGCCCTGTCTAATCGATAGAATTAGTTAATTCCTTTGCCTTCCATTTGCACTTTCTGGTAAAAACCAAGAGTTCTGGGCAGAATCCTACTGCTTTCTCTTTCAACAGCAGAGTTCTCGTTTAATTAGAATGAAAGACCTATTTGTTCATTAACTTAGAAAACCAAAACGGTGCAGACAGATGCTGACTTGAATGCCAATACCCATACTATCGACTACAAATTAGAAAAGCCGTCCATCTGGTCTAAAAGAATGGTCAAATAAAAAAATAATTATTTCAGAAATGTCAAAAACGAAATTAAAAAATCATGAAAAGATTCACCGAAAATTAATTGTCCCAAGAGTGATTTACAGCAAGAGTCTTGGGGTCTTATGATTCTGTAAGCAGACCAGAACTGCTACATCCAATGTGCGTTACTGGAAAAAAAAGTCTAAAAGCATACACATTCACAATGGATGCATACAGTCATAAACTCATAATCTTCATCACAAATCACAGTAAACCGTAACAGGAAAGGAGAAAATGTATGGCTGGCTCAGGAATCAAGCCCGGGACCCCTGCATTTCAAGTCAGGTGCTCTACGAACTGAGCTATCCAGGCCGATATCCGCTGCCCAAAACCATTACAAAAAAAAACCTATAATTTTAAGAAACAAATTGGAACTGATCATTGGGGATCCAGGAATTTCGTAATGGGGGGGGGGGGGGGGGGGGGGGTAGAAGGCAGGGGGTCTGGGAGGCTGCACTGAAGCCCCCTGTGGTTCTAGGGCAAGGCCCTGGCAGGTCCGGGTGATAATAATGATTCTAGTTAATCAGTCTGAATGTTGTAGATAATACATGTTTGCTTTGGTGTCTTATCCTTAAAAGTAAGTATACTCCATTTTTGCCTATTATATAAATGATACAGAAAAGTTCAAGCAAATAAAGTTTAATTTATTTAAGCATAGAACATGACATAATTTAGAAAAAGGATGCATGATACAATGTATTCGAAAAAACAAAACAAAACAAAAACATTACAAGTAATTTAAGAGAACTCTTGAGACAGATAAAATAATTTTTTTAACCCTCTGTTCACTGAAATGAACATGTAATTTTTAACAGAAGTTGAATAAGAAAAAGAAACACTGCCACATGTATCATTCCAAAGCTGAAAGGACAAATTTGAGCAAAGACAATGACAAAAATATTAATACAAAGGAAAAAAATTTAGAAAAAAATCTTAGAGTTACCTTTCTTAATAGTGGGCCAATCCACCTTAACACACTTTCCCATTGGGCAAAAATTGAAAACATGCATCATTTATCCATATTTTATAAATTGAACACATCATTAGGTTATATCACATAATATTTGATCTTAAATATGATATTGGAGGGATTTTGAAAAATATAAACAAGCACACTAATTCTAAGGATGGAAACTTCTCTTAATTATGGAGGCCTTTCAACATTTTAGTCAAATAATTTTATACTTATCTTATATTTCCAATTTATTTCCTCATTATTAATTTTGTGATTGGTATGAATAATTATGGGAATAAAATCCAGAGACTTTGAATAAAGGGGGGGGGGATATACTGACCTACACTTGTAGCTAACAATCTTTATTTCTAAGACCTTGAAAAATAGCTAATACCATAGGTTCTTTTGATTTTCTTTTTTTCTTATGATTTATAAGCCTTAGGCAATATTTAGGCCAAGTTTTGGATTTATAAAACAAATTTCCATCCTAAGAAAATGCAAGTAAAATTATCACATATCATAATCAAAGACTAAATATTGCAAACACCTGGTATATAAAGGAATACTGCAATATGCTGAAACAATTACCGGGTAGAATAAAGAAAGTTTAAATTCTATTATTTTCAATCTTTCTCTTATTCTTTAAAAATTTATGAGTGGTTGAAAAGAAAACATTGGAAAAAAAAAACAAGACTATCAATGGATATATCAAACCGATACAGGCAGTAACAATAAAATCATGTTTTTACAAAGAGATTGTTCCTTTGGCAGTTAAACTGTTTAGTATTAATTATGCGTTAGCGTATAACTGAAAGTTCTCTAACATTAATTAGTAATAGACTAGAAAGAGTTTCAATGAACAAACATGGAAAAAAATATATATTTAAGACATCAATCATGAGGCCTGTTCAGCAGAGTGAACGTTCGCGAGCCCTCACCAAAATTCCTTATATCACCAATAGAAATGTTTGTGACCGCTCCTAAACATTCGCTCTGCTGAACAGGCCTCTGCTACGTATGTATGATGATCAAAATTAAGGTTTAAAGAAAACAGAGACAATAAGCAAAGGTCTTTGATGAGCTCATTTTTAGGCTTCCAACAATAATGTAGAATAAACTGTACAAAAAAAAAAATGATATATAAGAATAAAAAAATATTTTAAAGAATAAAAAAAAACAACATTGTCAGATAGAGGAAAAGTGTATAAATCAACAAAATATTCAATAATAACAAATCCAACAATTCAGGTATAAACTGAGAGACCTGTTTATGAACAACCAATATGGTAAAACAAGAGGCCAGGGGCCACATCGCTCACCTGATTACATCGGCTAGTAAAACGCACAAATGATCAGATCAGAATTGAAAAGTCTACTGAGGAAGGGGGGGGGGTTGAATTCTAACACTACTTGAGAATGCCTTTGTATCAATTTTGCATATAATTTCTCGAGAAAGTTCTTGAGAAAAAGATTTTTATAGATTTTTTAAACATTTTGTTTGTATATATTACATTGTAATAATTTGAATTAGACTCCCCATCATTTCCCTCCCTACCCCAAAGGGTACTCATGATTTGAACAAATGTAAATCTACAATACATGAGGATGCTTACATGTCAATATGACTTAAAATAGCTTTTCTGTTATTGAGATTTTCCCTTTATTTTCCTGTGTAAATCTTTTATCCACCACCGAGACCCTTCCCTACCCTTGGAGGTTATGATTTGAACAAATTCTACACTACTTGAAAATGCTTCCATATAAATATCACTTATCATGACTTTGCTATTCTTTAGAAAAATATTTTCGTTTTAATATATTTTTATGTAAAACTTGGATCCCCCCTTGTGGCCCCATCCTATCCCTGAGGGTTATGATTTGAACAAACTAGAATCTACAGTATCTGAGCATGCTTCCATAAAAATATCACTAATCATGGTTTTGCAGTATTTGAGGAGAAATTAAAAAAAAAAATTTCCATATATATTTCTATGTAAAACTTTGATCGGCCATTGTGGTCCAACCCTACCCCCGGGGGCCATGATTGAACAAACTTGAATGTACTCTATTTGAGGATGATGCAACATGAGTTTCATCTTTCCTGGCCCAATGGTTCTTGAGAAGATTTTTAAAAAAAATTCCTATATATTCCTATGTAAAAATTTGATTGGTCATTGTGGCCCAACCCTACCCACGGGGTCATGATTTGAACAAACTTGAATGTACAATATTTGAGGATGATTCAACAAGAGTTTCATCTTTCCTGTTCCAATGGTTCTTGAGAAGAAGATTTTTGAAGATTTTTAAAGATTTTTCCTATATATTCCTATGTAAAAATTTGATCGGCCATTGTGGCCCCACCTTACACCCGGGGGCAATGATTTGAACAAACTGGAATGTACACTACCTGAGAATGATTCAACTTGAGTTTCATCTTTATGTCCCAATGGTTTTTTGAAAAGAAGATTTTTAAAGATTTTTTCCTATATATTCCTACGTAAAGTTTGATCAGCCATTAATGTGGCCCCACCCTACCCCCGGGGGTCATGATTTGAACAAACTTGAATGTACACTACCTGAGGATGATTCAGCATGAGTTTCATCTTTCCTGTCCCTATGGATCTTGAGAAGAAGATTTTTCCTATATATTCCTATGTAAAACTTTGATCGGCCATTGTGGCCCCATACTACCTCTGGGGGCCATGATTTGAACAAACTTGAACGTACACTATCTGAGGATGATTCATCATGAGTTTAATATTTCCTCTCCCCTTGGTTCTTGAGAAGAAGATTTTTTAAAAATGCCATTAATTTTTCACTAATTCATAACTAGTCTCCCCTTGGAAGAGGGCGTGGCCCTTCATTTGAACAAACTTGAATCCCCTTCACCTAAAGATACTTTGCAGCAAGTTTGGGTGAAATGGCTCAGTGGTTCTTGAGAACAAGATAAAAATGTAAAAAGTTTACCACAACAAAGACGACAACGACAGACAACAGACAAATTTTGATCAGAAGAGCTCACTTGAGCAAGGCTCAGGTGAGCTAAAAATCAGATATTTACAGTGCTTGAACACTATATACTTAATCCTAATTAATTTAAAAAGAATTCAAACCTATAATGTTACAACTATTAAGCTACAACATAATGTATATGAAAGCAGGCAAACAGTAGCTAGATAAATGTTATACTAGCATGAGCTTATAATAATGTCTACAACAGCTAGCTTATAGGCATCAATACATGTATTAGCTTATTTTGTCTACAACAGCTAGCTAATAGGCGTCAATGCACCTCTTTCTACAAGTAGTTCATATAAATGGCGATTCTTTTCATACAAGAACTGTGACACTTTCCCTGCACAGACTGCATCTTCACTTAGACCTGCAAATGTAAATTTTAAGTCATCACAGTCAGGAAAAAATCATACAAAGTGTCTTGAAACATAGTATGTGTACTATACAATTTATTGACAAACTGGAAATTGGATTCATTCATCCAGTAGCTTACTGGATAGAGGCAGCTAGGGTACATGCATGGTTACTGAATGGTCATGGGTTCAAACTCCAACACTTTGTGGCCAAACCCTACCCCTAGGGATCAGGATTTGAACAATGTTAGACCACCAGTGTTAGAGAGGTTTCATATATAGTTCCATTTTTTTTGTCAAATAGTTTTTGAAAATAATTTTCCTTAAAAATCCCACCTGCAGGCCCATGCCTTTTGCATCCGTAATGATAAATATATAGGAAAAAAAAGTTATGATATTAATAAACCACAATGCACCAGGATTTCTTGTATTATTGTGCATGCAGCCTTAATTTTTTACTAATCATATTTATCCTTTTCCTTGAAAGTCTACCCTAATTCTTATCATTTTTTTCATTGGTGGTAGACATTTTGTTCCTGGTAATTTTGCCAATCAGACCATATTTCCTGCTAATCAGAGATGGCAAAATATAGAAGATATATGAACTGCTAGCATTGTAATTAACAGGAGTGATATCCCATTGCTCTGTAATGAACTGTCAATTTAAATAGTGTGCCTTCATTGATTTTTCCCCAGAATCATTACAGAAAATTTTCACACCAATTAGCCCCTTCATCATTCAGCCCACTAGGTCTCACAGTCAAATTATGACTCTTGATGAAATTCAGATGCAAAACAATTAACTGACTGGGGATCTATGGATCTTCTTTCTTTCCCAATAAGCACACTTCCATGAATCTTTTGTTGGTAGCAGGAGTTGTCTCTCTTTGCATGCAGAAAGGAGTTCTGACTACTTAGAAAGATTTTATATATATCTACCTTTTTATGCCCCCGTAAACGAAGTTTTGGGGGGTATATAGTTTTTGTTTTGTCCATCCGTCCGTCTGTCTGTCCAGCTGTCTGTCTGTCTCTCTGTTTGTTTGCAAAAACTTTAACCTTTCCCATAAATTGAGATTTAGTGGAGCTATGACATACATTTTTGCAGATATGTATTCCTTGTGACAAGACCTTTCTTTGGGTACCACCAAATTTGAAATTTTGGCCTTGACCTTGGAGTCTGACCCACTTTTACATGAAAATTTTAAACTTTTACTTTGGCCATGTCTTTTGAACAGCAGACACCAGGACATTAATACTTTACATATGCATTTTTTGTTCATTGGATACCAACAACTTTGACCCTTTGACCTTGACCTTGTAGATTTCCGTACTTGTGAGAAAACTCTAACCTTGGCCATAACTTTTGAACGGTAAGGGATATGGCTTTCATAGTTCATATATGTAATCCTTGTGAGAAGACCCTTCATTGGATACCAAGAACTTTGACCCTTTGACCTTGACCTTTGAGTTTGACCTACTTTAAAAAAGCAAACCTTGACCATAACTTTTTAAGGGTTAGGGCTAGTGCTTTCATACTTTACATACCTAATCCTTGTGGCAAGACTTTTCATTTGATAACAACAACTTTGACCCTTTAACCTTGACCTTGGTGTTTGACCTACTTTTAAAAAAATTGAACCTTGGCCATAACTTCTGAACGATTAGGGCTAGGGCTTCCATACTCTACATAAGTATTCTATGTGGCAAGACCTTCCAATGGATACCAATTACCTTGACCTTTTGACCTTGACCTTGGAGATTTTTGTACTTATTGAAAAAACTTTAACATTGGCCTACTTTCAATTTTCACAATTGTTTTCCAGTGAGAATATCTTACTTTTGGTACCAACTAATTAAATTTGCATTTTTTAGGATCAATTTTATGAAAAATGCCAGAGTATTGTCTTGCGTAAGATATCACAATAGACATGGTGATCGAGCTAAAAATAAAAGCATACATGCAATATTTGTACAAATGAAGAGAGCAAATTTAATGTGACATATTCAATTTACTGGTACTAATTAATCCAAGAAAACAAGAAATTCCATAAAAATGGTCATAGAAATATATTCATACCATATTTCACAACAGAAATTAAAGCATCATAAAGCAAAAAGAAAAAAAAAAAAGGAGGATGATCAATCTAAGCAAACTTTTTTTCTAAGCTACATAGTGCTTAAATCGGCAGAAATTTTGACTCATAACCCTTCACTAGTTACTCATGCAGTAAATGATGCAGCTAATGTCAAGAGGATGGGTAATTAATGAAATAAAATATTACACAGGAGAAAATCGGAGGTAGAAACAGATGGTGCAGAGATTATCACGATTAAACAAATGTACCTGTTTAACTTCTGGGTGCGACATATTTTTCGAAAACTCCCTCTACATCTGAAAAGTTTCAAACCCTACAAAACACAAAAAAAGGTTGGTACTGATGAGTGAAACATATATTTTAAAAATGTTCCGAATGTAAAAATATTTCATATCTGTCAAAAACATCATCTCATGATCTCTAAGGAGAAACTGGATACTGAATCTAATACTAATGGAATGAATTACTGCTGTTAAGAACCTTTTGAAAAAAAAAGATGAAGATGAGGAACAGCTAAAAATATCACAAGTCTTGAATAAAACAATAAAAATCATGAAAATGGCAAAAACATGGCCCCTCAAAACACCTGAGGCGGGCTCAGGTGCTAAAGAGAGGTTCCTGTGTCAACCTGAGAAACACTTGCCGTAAGCTCTCAGTATTGAACAGGATACAGGTAGGTAATTGAAATAGTATAAAAACAAGAGGCCCATGGGTCTTAATGGTCACCTGAGAATAATACACCAAAGAAATATAATAGTAATAAACTGCATGGCCCTTAATTTGAACAAACTTGAATTCCCTCTATATGGACCAGAAAATTCTAAGTTTTGCTCCCCTTCCCCCAGATTTAGATTAAGATGCTCTGGTGTAGGTGCATGACTTTGGTATTTAAGATCTGGTGTAGGTGCTTGATATTGGATGTGAAAATCTGGTGTAGGTGCTTAGTTTGGTATTGAAGATCTGGTGTAGGTGTTTGACTTTGGTATTGAAGATGTGGTGTAGGTGCATGACTTTAATCATGAAGATCTGGTGTTTATTTGGTTTTATTTTAGAAACCCGTACAAAGGATTGAACCTGCATTCTTAAAGAAATATCAAAGATGTTAAACTAGAGGTGTGAAGAAATTGCCTTTTTCTTTGTTTTTTTTTTTTTTTTTTGAAGATCACTGCTAACAATACACATAAAAAAACCCAATCTTATTTCACTCATACCACTAATTTATAATTAGCAACAGATCCCCATTCTCCCCCCAAAAGTTGATTGCAATACGACAGAAATTAGATTTCGATTAAGATTAATCTGGGTTATAGAAAGGCTTGTATTCGGTAATCACCCCAGAAGCCCTGGCATCAGCCCCCACTATCAATGCAATCAAATGTTATAAAGTCTTGCATGTATTTGGTAATCTATCTTGGCCTGCACTCCAAGTCATTTGGAGTTTTTGCGATATTCATTTGATAAATGACTATCTCGTTTTCACAAAGACCAGTGATTGCATTAACAAACATTATTAACTTAGAGACGAAATTCCTGCAATTTCAAATCTTATGACTTCATTTATGATTTATAATGGAAGTAAATCTCACAATTTTCTTATTTTTTGCCCATCAATAGTTAATTTGAATTCTTTATTTATCTCCGTACTTTACCCAAAGATCTGCCACTCTGCTCCCATAATGAATACTGTAATTTTTTATGACATAAATTCTCCCTTTGTTTTCTCAATTACAGACAATTGGTCCATCTTTTATTACCAACATTCAAAAACTTGTCTTAGTACAGGCCATCAATCATTTCCGATTCTGTTTCATTTATTAATTTGTCATGAATTTTGGACACTTAACAAGAATTTCTGCTATGCTCCAAAAATCCTGATGGGCGTAAAGAATAAATGAAGGGTTGGAACTGCAATCAATGCGGGACTATATATCATAATTCATTATTACCCATCCAATCTAAAACATAGCCAGTCCTAATAAAACATTAAAATAATGATAGCATTTCTGGAAACTTCTAATGAAGGCAAAAGATAATGACTTTTTGGTCAAATATGAGAATTATCTGTTGAGAAATGAAATTCATGAGGAAACAGAGCCATAAAGCATTTGTAGACATAAACTTACTTAATTTGAGAGACTATCCTTTAAAAGGAAGTCAGAGCTAACATGACCAATTAAGATAACAGGATATCTATATCAAGTACCTGCAAAACCATTAATTAAAACTCTGCATCAATGGACCACTAGATAAGTTTATATTTGAATATACTGATGATTAAATGTCTTAAATAATCCATTTTCACTGGATATAAAGTATTAAATATATTTATATTATTCCATCAGTTCATTGTTTATGAATCCATGCTACACATTTCAGTCAGTATGAAGGTACACAAGAATATTTAATCCCCTGCTCCACCCATCCCTTCCATTATCGATATTTCGTAGATGTTGTTCGTATTAATGTTGACTTATCACTTTATTCATACTTGCCAACTCACCCGATTTCGTCGGGTCACACCCGATTTTTCAACCCGTAACCCGATTATTTTTTATGACCCGGTGGGTCATGCTTATCACCCGATTTTTGCCAAACAACCCGAAAATCTATATTTGGTCACACTTTTAACAGCATCAGAGGTAAACAATTAACTGGGTGTTGTTTTGACAATTCAATGAAGTCAATTAAAATGGCCATCGTTATCAGGGCCAACAGGAACAAATTGAACCAAACACATGTCTCTGATTGAACCAAGAAAAAGAGAAACGATATTTATGCAAGTTACATATCAAGGAATCTTGGGGGAAAAAAACCTTTCATTCTAGATAAAATAAAGTGATCGAAGGCAGTGTAGGCCTAACTTCACATTTAAAACATATTGCAGTAGTTAATTAATTAAGAGAGAAGAAAAATAATTTCAAAACTGAAATTTTACTTCAAATTTAGCAGAAACTGAAACATGTGAAAAGGCTTTTTTAAAAAAATGCACATATACTTCTGAATCAGGTCAATACTGAAATATGAAACCTTCAATTTTCATTTTTAACATGTAAATTAAAGCAAATTATGTATGAATTTTTGTCAAGGTAAATTAAATCCTTTTTCAATAAAAGAATTCTCAATACACAAATAATACTTTGTATATATGTATAAAATTTAATCATGGAAATTATGTAGGGTTATGACCAGACTTTCCAAATCTGGTCATGACCAGATTTTTACATGCTGGAGGTTGGCAAGTATGACTTTATTTGAATATTTTTCTTTTGTAGAATGATATGGATTTCAGAAGTTAAACTAATGGTTGTGCTTGCATACTGTATACACTTCAAATATATTACTATATAAAGTGTTTCTGAGTTTTATTTATAAATAATTTATGTTCGTTTGAACTGGTGAATCAGAACATAACATATATATTACCTAATTTTTTGGCCACTGAGGTGATGGTGTCTAAGGCTCTTGGAATCTGTGATTTGTCTGATGCCATAACCTCTATCTCTCCAACCTGGTATCCAAATCCTGTCAGATCTAGGTCAATGGTGCATTCTGGGAGGAAGTAGGTTTGTCTGGTTGTTGTGAACTCCACAAATTGTACTAAGCCTAGCTTTTGTATCACTTGGTCAATCGGTGCACCACTGAGGTCTTCTCTACGGAAATGATTGACTAGAAAGTCGACTATTTCATTACAGTTTGTAATTTCTTGATACTGTGTAGAAAATTTTGTAAGGGGCCCATTCACAACCTTTATTTCCCAACATCCATTTCTTTGTCTTAACCAACAGTCCTTCAGAGTGAGAGCATAATCAGGATTGTCATAGTATCTATCAAGAAAGACTTTCTCCTTGTGGAGTTCAGCACCGATTTCCACCAGTCTGATCTTGGTATCTGCAGTGACCTTGAACTTTCTCTCTACTTCCACTGGACTCAGTAGAGGAACCTCAGAATTACTACTGACCGACTCATTCAGCTTAGAATCTAAATGAATGATGACCTTTTCTTCATCTTCCTCAATGGAAACACTGGAATCATCAGGGTCTGGAGATGATTGCTTTTGAACAGGCGAGCTAAATTGATTCTTCTGAAGACTTTGCTTGATCATTTCTGATTGCAAAGACAGAGGGGACTGAACAAGTTCATTGGGTTCAGACACTACAGCATCTTTCTTCTCTTTGGTTGAAGTTTCAGCACCTTTGTTGACTTTTTCGTAAGACAGGAACATGGATGAGGCACTTGTGAATTCGTACATGGAGCTTGATTTCTTGGCAGTCTCCCTGTGTTCTGATGACCTTGTATCATTTCTATCCTCACAGCTCTTCCAGCTGTTTGGTTCCACTTCCTGCCTGCTTTCCTTCTCCTCAAATCCCGAATCTTCCAGGGACTGGGACATATGGACTTTATTCTCCTTCCCTATGGTACTCTCTGAACGACGAAGCTCTTCCAGCAAAAGTTCAGATTCATCTTTCACAGCTTTTGTATCTTCTTTGTTCTTTATCACATCTGGATTACCATTCATGTCATTTTTCACTTCTTCCATAACAAATATTTTCTTTTTGTCCGGAGAATGAACTTTTTGCCTTTCAGGAAAGCTCTCCTTTGTCTCCATATGATCAATGAAATTTAAGCTCAAATCTGCATCCATCTTCAGCTCTTAATTAATTACCTGAAAAATGTACACAAACATATTATATTACTGATGTTACACAGGTAAAATATTTTTGTTGATCAATTTTGTATAATAATTACTAAATAAGAGATTTGAAAACATAGCTGGATTATTTTTTTCCTTCTGAATTTCTGGACAAAAGTTCACCGAGATACTATTCAGAAATCATTTATAACAATAAATACGTCCCTGACCTTCACATTTGACCCTTACAGCTCAAAATCAATAGGTATTGAAATGAATCTGAAGATTATTTCATACAAGAATAAGTGACCTTCACCTTTTTGGTCTCAAAATCTATGGAATCAATATAGACTTACTAAATTCATTGTAAAAAGATCAAAACTTGAAACCACTTACTAGGTAATAATTATATGAAGTTTTGATCTTCAATTTTTTTTAACCTAAATTCTTTAAGGTGTAGGAAGTTATGATGCAAAATTTCACTGCTAAAACTAGAAGAATTTAAGAAATGTCATTCAAAAACCAGTGTTAAGACATACTGATGGACAGTCACAGACAGACAGACGGACAAATTAAAATCAATATCCTTGTAAGGAGACAATACAGATTTTGTCAATATTACAGTAAGTAGCAATTACCGGTAAAAATATTGTAGCTTGTGTCACTAACTAGCAATATTAAAGCTATATATATTGGTCTCCATAGCAGCAATATCAAATGTACATTATATATATATATACACACAAGAAAGTAACCTTGGATTTTAATCAGTGCACTTGTCCCGAGGGTTCTTCAAACTGCACTTTTTGTCGAAACGGATTTATTTTCGTAATGCAAATGTTCGTATATTAAGTTTAAAAAAAGACAGAGTTGTCAAGTATTGTTGTTACATATCAAATGCCTACAAGGGTTTTCATTTCAAACAATTTCTTATCTCTAACACAAGCCCTAACATTTTTCACAATTTCCTGATACCAGAACTTTATAAAAAACAAATTTGTGTATCAACAAACATTACATAATACTACACGACATAAATTAAGAAGTGCATATACATAAAACATGTTGGTTAATTTCATCATGTAGCACCACATGTTTCAGATAGAAACAGACATAGAACTAATTTGCCCCATATAAGCCAAAGATAAGTCCCAGTTTATACAATAAACCTTCCTATAATGCAAATGAGTCCAAAATGGGATCAGTTAAGACTTTGTGATGTAATGAGCGCAACAGTGGAGCTCATAAATTTATCCTAACTCAGTTATAATTACTACCAAATCAGACCTAACTATCGGACATCAAAACCAGAAATTCTTCATAACAAGTCCTTTTGCATTTTGCTTTTCTAATGAAATATCAATCATAAATGCCAGCAGTCGCTTGAAGTAGGAGAAATTAGAGACTGCAATTTGTGAAAACGAATTCTTGGGCTAATGAAAACTGACACAACGCTATAGGCACAGCCATCAAAACTTGATTATCGCATGATGCATACTGGTGTCGAATAATTCGTCAAATTCTGTTTGCCTTTGTTCAATAAAAGAACTTAAACTATATCAATTTCATATAGTTAAAACATTCCCATATATGTAAATCAGAGCTTTTAGTTAATTCCGTACAAATTCTAATAATATTCATCTTTGAAATTTGTACCCTTGTACATTTAATTTGTTATTCTCTTTTTTTTTAAGGCCTAACCCTCATTTAGTATCAGAGTGAGAACATAAAGGAAAGTTAGTTTAAAAAGGACAGGGTTTATTTTCATCAGTCCTATATCATTAAAAGTCAATCTCTGATCAAATGACATGCTATACACATGATTATCTTAAAATCAAAGGGAATCGGATGAGGCAATTATTAATGAGGACTTACAGCCAGAAAACAAGGGTTTTAGATTACATAATAAATCTCAGAATTATGACAGCATCAACCATTATGTACAAATAAAATCACAAATGACTTTTATCCGATTTTCTATATATACAGAACACAGTTGTCCCTCTTTCATTGCTGTATGAGTATGATATGTGCACATTCCATTGTCATGGACAATAACAGCAAAATCAATATTGTCTTTCCATTTTCAGTTCTGCATTAATTTGAACAGCTATAAAAAGAAGGAATGAGACATTATATTTTAACTTAAAGTTTGATTGGTTAAAAGGCAATGATCATGGCAATATATGTATATCTTTGAAAGGAAACTTTTCAAAAGAACACTGTTAAATAATCGGTTGACAGATGTTTGTTTCAAACAGAATAATTATTTGTTAAAAATCTAAGTTGATAAAAATTCTTGAGACTATTTTTCAGTTTGAAATAACTAAATTATATCCCTTTTGCCTATAAAATGTCATTTGACTATGAAGATATCAGACTCTATCAAAGATTTTTCATTGTACCCAATAATTTGTGAATGTGCAGATACCAGTATCAATTATAAAATTTCAAACATGTTGCCAACTTTAAAATCTGAACATTTCACTTTCTGACTAGCCTTTCAATAGTGTACCTAATATGCACCAGCTCAGGTACACATATAAATAGCAAAATATCAAACACTCGACCAACCTTAAATCTAAACATTTCATTCTCTTTACTGCCTACCAATTGTACCTAATAACTTGTGATTGTAAAAAAGAAAAAAATTAAACTAATGATTTATCAGCTTAATAAACACACCTTTTACATAATGCAGATTCCCAATTTGACAGGGATAATTTCTTACCTACACATGATGCTAAAATTCCCTAGAAAAAGGAATTCTGTTGTAACTAAGGTCAGCTTAAAAGATCTAAGAAACAAAGTTTATACATGCCAAAACAGATCATAAAAGGGATTAGCAAGGGAGGTCCACTTATCCCATTAATATCAATAAAAAAGGCTTAGCTTGTAAAAAGCTGATAATCATTATTTTTCATTGTTTATAGAACATCTTGCAGCACTGTGTGATGTCTAGCTAGGATATAAACCTGGTAAACTGATCATCGTAGTGCAATGTTGCAGAACTTTATACAAAAACTTGACCCTTCTGTTCTTATAATTTAATTAAAACAAACAAAATACCCCCCCCCCCCCCAAAAAAAAAAGGTTGAATTAGTTAAATATTTCGAATACTAAATATTAATGCATGAATGGGTGCAGATATTATTTTAAGAACTTTTTAAGATTTGACAAGGCAGCAAACCATATAGACTCTGAATCAGGAACATTGTCACATGTTTGTATCTTCTTTCTATACTGTAATGTATGTTTCTCTGATACTGCAGATACCATGCTATTGTACCAAGAAACCTAAAACATTCTCTGATGTAATTAAAAGCCCAGGATTTGAAATGTTCTGTAGTTTACTGGTAAAATTTCCCCCTGGTAAAAAAAGGGATGATCTACAAATACATTAATTGATCTTTCTGCCTTGATTAAAGCATGGATATTGGCTGTGTTAATGGGTATTACACTAAAATGATCTACGGCTCTGTCAATTAAATAGAATTAATGAGGATAAAGATTTCCAATCACAGCATAATTACTGATATTATATGTAAAAATAATTGTATGGCAAGATTACAGAGATTACAAACTTATGCAGCTTCTGATATAAGTCAGAGAAATCATTATCTCCCGTACTCTAATATTATAGAACTAAATATACAATGTCATATGTAATTATCTAAAACGACATGTACAATTATTCATCATGTAGATTAACTTTGTTATTTACTAATACTTTGAAATTCAACTGTGCACATTAAAGTATCAAATCAATATGACTATGTTGGTAAGGGTTTAGTTATAAATTACACAATTTGTATGCCCATCAAGGTCAAAATGTCCACATCAACATATGACAAAAGCCTATATTTAGTGAAAATTGATAAGGAAGTTCAATATTTACTTTATTTCTACATGTCCACACACTACATTTACCTTGCTGTAATTACAAGCTATATAGTTTTAAAGTCATAATATACCCAATTTATTTCTATTGTTTATGCAAATAGGAAACATATGGCAAGAAAACCTATCTGAAAATAAACGAACAATGGTTCCCTTGTAGGTATTACTTTGGCATGTCCAAAGGGCTGGCTGTCTGACCTCCAAGCTCAAATTTTGAACTTGATCTGGTATCCCGATCCTTTGACCTTCATCAAATATTAAAAATTCTCCATAAACTGCCTTAACCATGGTTTCAAAGAAATGGACAAGGCGGGTTTAAGTTAATAACAATGAATCAATGACCTTGTTTTATATAGCAACTTCTGGATTTCAAATAGTAAAAACTACTGCAGACATAGAAGACTTTTAAGAAGATATAAAAAATTTGGTAGTCACAGAATTTAAACTGATAAGAAACAAATGATTTCCGAGAATTCCAACAAAACAATACCTGGAAGATGTTGATTTTTTTTCAAGACATCTCCGTTTCAATTAAATCAAAAGAACAATGATCCAGTCTTCCATAAAAAAGTGTCAGGTAGGTATGATGACTTCATTTATAATATAAATGAAATAACAAAAACAACAGATGTTAGGACATAATTGAAATGATGGTGGTGAACCCTCCAGCCATCTTAAGAAAGCCAACAAATTATAAACATTTTAAAAGTAGGAAGGACAAAGTACTCAAATTGATCAAGGCTGGCAAAAATAATTCGATATACAGCATTCCAGTAACCGTGATGAGCGTTTTCCACATGGAGAAAAGGGGGGGGGGGGCTGAAGAAAAAAAAGTACTTGTGGAAAAGGAGGAAAGGCCAACCAAAAAGCAATGTGGAGGTGAACTGTCATACAAGAACTAAAAGACATAAAACATACCTGCAGAGGACAAAACTATATAAAGGATAACATTTAACAATTTTGGAAAGAATAGCTTTAAAAGATCAAAAAGAATATTCACTAAACCTACAAATTGTCTTGAAAAAGGAAATCCCAAGTCCTTGGCCTATGAGCCTCTGGGAGTAACAAGGACTGGCACTCAAATGGACCCAAGAAGGGAAAAGGAGGAAAGGCCAACCAAAAAGCAATGTGGAGGTGAACTGTCATACAAGAACTAAAAGATTAAAATATACAGTCAAACCTTATCTCAAACTCCATGGGACTGAGAAAAACCTTCGAGATATCCAAGGATTTGAGATATCAAGGGTAAAATAATAAAGAGATATCCAGTGGGAATTCCAAATCAGCTCGACATATCCATGGTATTTGATGTACCGGAGCTCAACTGTATATACAGTTGAACATTGGTACCTAGAACATTCAATATCTCAAATACCATGGATATGTCAAAGTGGGTTGGAAGTCACAAACACATTTTCTATAAGTATTTTAGTCTCTTTATCATCACAAACACATTTTCTATAAGTATTTTAGTCTCTTTATCTTGAATCGTTGGAAAGTTTGAAATTGATTGAAAATGTATGCAGACAAACCTAAGAGAGCACTAAAGGCCTTTAACATTAATAAAAATTGTAATTAAAAAGTTTTGTCCCTGAGATCTTTTTGAATTATGTTAAAAGCCTTGTTGAATGCACAACTAATATTGCTCCAAATAATTAAACCGACTGTAAGTGATAGTCACTTCTAGAGGAATGAAATGCTTTCACATTTACAAGAAATTATATGTATTGGATTTTGGGAGGAGATTATGCATAACTGATACATCATAGAGCAATTTTCCTATAAAAGAACAAGAGTGTAATATTCTTTTATGCAAAAAAAGAGAAATTAAAGTTCTCTTATCTGACTCAGAGTCAGATCAATATATCAAGCATCACACAGCATTACGATCCATAATTATAATTTAGCCTGCATCATCTTGCAAATTATCTCCTTCCCTTATATTTCTTGTAAAATATTGTAGCCTAATTGATTAGCAAAACAAGTGAGGGATTATAAGCAGTTCAAGATTGGGGGTTTCAGTTGATATTGTCTCTAAATGCTCAATATGTGTTATACCACTGCGTATTGATTCAGCAGTCTTCCATCCTTGATGATTGCAAAGTTTAATTAACAAGCCGCATAATCCATACATAAATAATGACCAAAACTTGACTGATATCATTTTATGTCATTAGCGCTCAGAAGTGTGAAGCTTTGTTTCAGAGGAATCGATTCTAAGAGCTAGGCCTAATTGTATATGATAATAACCCATTGTTTTTGATTGGAACCAACCCAACACTTTTCCAATCAATTTAAAAGAAAAGTTAAACTGAGTCAACTGTTGTATCCAAATTGCAATATGTTAACAGAAAGGTTCAAATTAGAGGTATTTATGTCTTTCTATGGACTCATGAAAAAATAAACTCCAAGTGTAAGATCTTTACTAGTTAGTACAGTTCTTGATTAACTTTGAGCTTTACAGGTCCATCAGTACATTGTCAAGTGAATGCAAAATAATATATAGTTGCATTTTGGTATCACAAACAATGAATACCTCGAATATCATGGATATCTTGAAAAATTTGGAAGTCCCAACCACTTATTCCTCAATTTTTTTTTTACACTGAGTGGATATCTTTAAGAAATTTCTCTGACCCACCAACTTCTACATAACAAGGTTTTACTGTATCTACAAATAATTTTACAATATGTAAGACGTATGATCTGCTCAAAAGTAATTCATATTCACAGAATTGTCATATTCATGGATAAAATAGGTGGTAAAGAACACACAGTTTTACAAGCAATGCCTGTGGACTGTAGCACTCACCTGTGTAACACCTGCTTGTTTATGTTGCTTAAGCCTGTAACATACAGAGTTTCCAACTAATGTTCTTCAGAATGTTAATATGACATGAAGTTTCATAGCACATATATGTACTCTCTGGATAAAAAAGCCCCATGTTTATTGTAAACCAACCTGCAATTGTAGCAAGAAATATCCACAAGGTTCAAATCTTTCCTTTACTTGTGAATATTTCTCACTGCTAACTTCTTATTTCATTGCATATTTATGTAGGATATTCATCCATATGTGAAATTAGTTGCCCTGGATAGATTTCAATTTGACAAATCGAAAATAACGTTGTCAATTTCTTTTTTAATATTTAGCTCTGTAAAAAGTTGAAAAGCTCTCATCAATATATATAAACATATCAGATTTAAAAAGGGAAGGTCAATAACAAAACGTCAACTGGTCTTAAGCATGTTTATTCTAGACTATACCTTTTATGCAATAGTTTCTTTGAAACTGAGCAAAAAACAAATGTGCAGGACAGAAAGAAACAAGAGATGTTTGTAAAACACTTATGCCCCCTCCCCCCAAAATTGGAGTTTTTCTAAGTCCAAAAGGGCATAACTCTGTCAAAAATGGTGCGATCATATCCAAATCAGAACCTGACCTAGATATTCATCTGACAAATCTGTATACTAAATATTATTTCAGTATGTGCAACCTCTGCCAAGAAAATGAACGGAAACTGCAAATAATTGGAATTTTTTCTAAGTCCAAGGGGCATAACTCTGTCAAAAATGGTGCGATCGTATCCAAAACCTGACCTAGATATTCATCTGACAAATCTGTATACTAAATTTCATTTCAGTATGTGCAACCTCTGCGAAGAAAATGAACGGAAACTGCAAATAATTGGAATTTTTCTAAGTCCAAGGCCTAAGGAGCATAACTCTGTCAAAAATGGTGCGATCGTATCAAAAATAGAACTTGACCTAGATATTCATCTGACAAATCTGTATACTAAATATTATTTCAGTATGTGCAACCTCTGCCAAGAAAATGAACGGAAACTGCAAATAATTGCAATTTTTTCTAAGTCCAAGGGGCATAACTCTGTCAAAAATGGTGCGATCGTATCCAAAACCTGACCTAGATATTCATCTGACAAATCTGTATACTAAATTTCATTTCAGTATGTGCAACCTCTGCGAAGAAAATGAACGGAAACTGCAAATAATTGGAATTTTTCTAAGTCAAGGCCTAAGGAGCATAACTCTGTCAAAAATGGTGCGATCGTATCAAAAACAGAACTTGACCTAGATATTCATCTGACAAATCTGTATACAAAATTTAATTTCAGTATATGTGCAACCTCTGCAAAGAAAATGAACGGAAACTGCAAATAATTGGAATTTTTCTAAGTCCAAGGGGCATAACTCTGTCAATAATGGTGCGATCGTATCCAGTACAGAACTTGACCTAGATATTTATCTGATATACCTGTATACAAAATTTTATTTCAATGTGTGCAACAGTTGTGAAGAAAATGAACGGAAACTAAATGGACCGACAGACAGCAACAAAGCAATATGCCCTCCCTTCTTCGAAGGGGGGCATAAATACATGATAAACACTGTGTGCTCAGGCAAAGATTTATAGTTGGGCATAAAAAATGGCTCACTAAAGAAATATATAGGACTTGGATAGCACATTAGAGCTTACCAAACCATCAGCCAGACTTACCTAGAATAAGATGCAACTGGTCACTTCTGTCCCACAGGTATTTATTCCAAAACCCTCTCCTTCTGCAAAATAAACAGAAGAGAGCTCAAATATAATCATTTTAGCTTTACAACAAAAATACTTTTTTGAGATAAATGCAAAAAAGATATTCAAAGACATTTTTTGTATAAAAATGAGTAAGTACTGTAAAGTGGATAACTAATTATTATGGAAGTTTAACTTTTGCTCTTTTCATGGTATTTTCTATTGAGAAATCTATTCATTTCCTCCAAAAATGTTAGAATTTTCAACTAATGATATCATCACCATTTCTACACTTCTTTCATAAAATCTCAGTGAACCTGGGACATTTTGTCCCCAATAAACCCCATGAAAATAAAGTGATTTTCCAGTAACTGAAGATGTTTCTCATTTAACTGACAAGTACTTATCATCATGATTATCCCAAAAAACTACATGTAAATACATGTAAGACATTGGAAACAAAACATTTCTTTACAGCATCTTCAGACGTCTATGGTTACTGTGTATATCTGGTGAAGGACTGTCTTAGCTTAAGGCACAAATTCAACCATCTTTAAAATTGACAGTTATTTTTAATAAATTAAAACTGCATAATTATATAGTTGGGCATTTAAAAATTTAAAAATGCTAACATTAATAAGGCTATCTAAAGGCATTAAAGCGCAGCTGTCTGGTTTCCATATGGAAGACACATAGACACATATTGGCTTTATCACCATTAAGTACTTCCTAGTATCCCATGTACAGTAGAACAAATTAAGTCTTGATAAATAATATTATTATTGATTGCAGCATTATTTAATTTTCAGTAGAGGGATCAACTACATGTGTTGTTTCATGTCCTTTATTAATTGTCTGCAGCTGTTGCATTTTGTAACGTTCAAGTAATTACAGACTGCAGTATTACGACTAGAGACAGAAGAAGGTCTAAGCAGGTATTAGTATTATTTCTTTACACTCCTCTCTCTTTCTTCTACCATTCAGGCATTCAAAATCACCATCAAAATCATAATAGAATATACAGTAAAACTTGTCTAATCCAGATGTCCTGTATTCTGAAATCTTGCCTAATACAATGTAAACTTAATGTCCTTCTCAATTACAGTAAATTTCACTTATTTGAAATTATTTCATTGTTAACAATTATGATAATTAAATGAAATTAAATCCCACTCTAAATTTTTATATAACTATATCTTCAATAGGTTACTTTTGGAATGCTGAAATTCAATACTCATGAAACCGTTGTAGATAGCAAATCAACGAAATTTGATACCCACAAAAATTTGTGTTTCAACAGATATTCAAATGTTTAAAATGTTGTCTAATCTAAAATCATAATGCCTAATCTTGCTTATTTCCTTGGAGGCAGTGATTCTGCAAGACAAACAATCGAATATGAACATGTATTGAAATATGAATGTTTTCAGTGTGGGAAAAGCATGCATATCTCTGTTCAGATGCTGGGCTCAACTTTAACTTTAATTTCCGCTTGTCCCGCAGACAAGTTGCCAACAAATGTGCTTGTCTGAATACCTATATAACTTAAATTTTCCAATTCTGAAAATATATGAAAAAAATCTAGCATTTCATTAAGCAATATTCTGTGAGGCATACATGACCCCTTAAGATTGTAAAGTTAAGATACTGGCTTTTAGCAAAATCATGTTACTGAATAAATTCTGTGGATTTGAAAATTTTCAGGGGTGTGCAATTAGAAAATTTTATTACTTGCCCACGGGCTAGTGGCAGCTATAAAGTTACTAGCCCCAAATAAAAAGTTACTTGCCCAAATTTTAATATAGGGGCAAATATTTAAATAAAATGAAATTCATTGTTGAAAAAGTCATGGTACTGAGGTAATTCTTTTTAAAATTAATGTACAATTCTCACTATTAAATTCTAAAATCATTTTTAAATTATCATGAAAGAAAATTAAAATGAATTTAAATGAATTGTCTTCCTTTTTTCTGAACATTGCACTAGCAGCACCTCATTTAGAATGAAATTAAATTCATTTTGTTTTCATGTATGATCATTAATAAATACACTAGAAATATATTCTATGTGTGTCACAAAACACTCATTTGTCAGTGAATTGAGTGATCGTAAATATTTTAATGAGATATCTGCATGTATTTACCATAAACGAAGGAATGGAGGAAATTCGGGTTAAGAAAAAAACAGATCGTTTTTTAGAAGTAAACAAGTAAGGTAATACTGCAAAACAGATAAGATTATTGAGATTTATTGACAGTTGGAGCATGTTGTCTGGAAAATATTCACTGGTTGGGAATTAAATAGCTAAAAACCGGTGGAAATACCAGTTGTGCTTTTCATGTATTGCGTGTGTAGTTATAATTTTTACTAGCCCGACGGGCTACCTCCATGCAGAAAATCACTAGCCCGACCCCAAAAAATGGTAGCCCCGGGCGTCGGGCGATGCTAATTGCACACCCCTGATTTTCATAATACTGTAGACCATTAAATTTTCGCGAGTAAGTCATGGACTATTGATTATTGAGACAAATTTTCACGAATTGTGGTTATTGCTCTATATAATCTTAAGGAATGTTTTTATACGTGAGAATTAAATTTTCGCTAGCACACTGTCTTGCGTAGTTACGCGAAAATAAAGTTCTCACTAATGAAAAGTGATTTACAGTAGTCAAGAGTTTACATTTCCAGTCGAACAAGTGTTTGTGGAGATTTGTCCTATCATGAGCTTGCTGCTAGACTTGGACAATCAGACAATACTTAATGCTGAGTCCTGAAATGATGCCATGTCTTGATTATAATTCAACTTAAAAATATTATACCTCTGCCACTATTAAGTAATATTCATAAATGTTTGTTTTAGTAAATTTACAAGGAAGTATGATGTCAATTTATGAAACAGGAAGGGAGAAATATACAGGGACCAGGCCAAGATTCAAACCTATAATACCCTGTGCTCTAGAAAAGTGCTCTACTAAGCTATCTGACCATCTATTGAATCTGCATGACTGTCACAAACAGAAATTTGAATTCAAACACACTTTTATTGAAATGTTGTGCTCTTATTCATGAAATGTATGGTTCATATAATATTAGTAGTTGACAGAACTGTTTAATACTTTAAAAATTTGCATATAGACACATACACACATTGATGATTGACATAGAGTCTATCAAGTTTTTATTTTGGCTTGGACAATCACTCACTTTATCTTTTCTTCACGGAGATGCATGTACAAATGCTTCAATGATTAAGTTGCACAATGCTTGATTATAAGACTGTCTGAATGTAATGTACTTTTAAGTCATATACCCTTTACATGAGGCATATACTTTATACACAGCTTACTGTCAGAATTATTATCAGATTGAACGTTGGGGGCTTATAGAGGAAATTCGAAATACCCTACACTTCCTACTTGTTCATCAATACTTCACAAACGACAAATCATTCCTTTCAAGGCTTTAAAAAACTTTAAATGGAAATATTCTAAGTAACAAAATACAGCCTGATAATTTTACCTAGTGAGTAATGAAGCTAATCTCGCATGCATGCATTATCCAGCATGAAGACCATCAAATGTTACTCCTAACACTGAAGAGTTCTCTTTCCCGCCATCGTGTCATGATACTCATGCTGAAATCGTGCACATCTCGAGCTTCCAAAGGATGCTGAAACATTATGTAAACATGCAGTTTCATGCATGGAATAGAGGTATATTTTATATTTGTGAGTATTTTCATGCATGATTTATTTGCATTCTCATGGAATTAGTTGCTATATTGAGCGTGTAGTGCAGTGCAGTGCAGTGCAAAATCTGACTTGGTGACTGTGTATTGTATTGAGCGATGAAATGTGAAAGCATGGGGATTTGTCTTCCGAATTGTTGTATCAAAAATAAACAAATAAAAATTTAAATCTCCTTTTAATACATTTTAAAGTTGTTACGATAAAGATTTTGGTATTTTCAGACCAGAATTTGAAGAAAAAATGTTTAAAGAAAAGAATTAACAAGTTTGGCACAATTCCCTTCTTTGGTAACTGTTACACTTAGAGGGGATTGTTCTTCTTTTCGGTAATAAAGAAAGTTTTCATAAATGTTGTTTGTATGTCAGTCGTCAACGTCAATCAAGGGAAAACAGATACAACTCGAAATTTCTATGATTTGGGGGCCAATCTCTCTAAATTGATCATCAGTTGACACAGTTGCATGGTAACAATGCAAGGGCAATAATTCTTGTAATCGTGGTATAACCTATTAATTATTTGTATAGCAAGTGTCCCATATATTGTGATGTTTTTATTAATCCTTGCATGCTTATATATATTGATAAAAGATGTTCAATGAATGTATCAAAATTTTTATGCCCTCGTAATTGTTGATTTGGGGATATTTAGTTTTTGCCCTAACTGTCCATCTGTCTAGCTGTCTCTGTGTCTGTTTGTCTCCGTTTGTCTCCGTTTGTCCGTCTGCAAAAACTTTTTAACCTTGCCCATAACTTTTGAGTGGATAGGACTATGGCTTTCATACTTCACAGGTGTATTCCTTGTGATATGACCTTTCTCTGGATACCATTAAATTTGACCAAGGCCATAACTTTTGAACAGTTGGTGCTAGGGTTTTCCTACTTCACATGGGTATTCACTGTGACAAGGCATTTCCATTGGTGTAAAAATATTTTGACTTTTTGACCTTGACCTTAGAGTTTGACCCACTTTGAATAAAACTTAACTTTGGCCATAACATTTAAACTGTTACGGCTTTCATATTTCCCAGGTGTATTCCTTGTGACAAGACCTTCCTTTGGATACCAACAAATTTGACCCTTTGCCCTTGACGTTGGATTTTGACTTGCATTTGAGAAACTTCAACCCTTGCCATAAGCTGCCATACAGGGGCATCAGTGTTTCACAAGCACATTTTGTTTTACCTTGGCTTTTCTTTGATTTTGACCTTCCTTATCTTTAAATGGCATTAAGCTCAATTTCAAAGATTTTAATGAAATCTTATATTCTGAAACATATTGATAAAAACTATTCAATGTCATTTTTTACCTTGACCTGTTAAGCTATATTTATTAAGAGAGTATTCAAAATATTTTCACCAAACATTGTATTCTGATACTGATATATATTGATGAGAACTATTCAAATGCATCAACATGTTTTACCTTGACCTTTACTTTGACCTTGACCTCATTTTTTCCAAACTTGTTATAAGCTTAAGGAAACTTTCCCAAATAATTCCACCTACGCTTATCCACTGATACATTTCTTAATTTTGTTGAATTTTATTTATTTAAGTGGAAAAAACTGCTTTAAAGCATTTAACAAATTTCCTGTTGTTTTTCTGATGAACCATAGGCAGAACATTCATGTCCTTTGGACATATTTCTTGTTCTTCAGACTAATGTTGTAGGTACAACTCTTCGGAGTCATCCAAAACAAATGTTAAGTTTTGCTGCAGATGTAAATATTTCGGTTTATGTTATAAAATCAGAACCTATTGATTATGAGCATAATATACGATAAAAGTTGAGGATGTCTGGATGGACAGACCATTTTTGTTGTTAAATAAGGCTTATCTAACATATATTTTTATAGTTTATTGTTTTATATATTGATCTCCCATCATTTAACATCTCTTTGCTGGATGTATCCATAAAAAGTAATTATCCTTATAACCTTAACTTTCATTTAGAAAATTGCCATCCCCTGTTAGTATTAATTCTGACAAAATTCATTAAGAGCTAGCTTTATGACAAAAGATTTATATATTGTTTGTCTGACTGTCTTTGGAGACCAGCGTAGTTCTGTATATTTCCTTGATTAGCCTGGATAGAATGGCTAGTTTCCGCCCAATTAGGCATATCAGAGATTGGTCAAATCAAAATTGTTGCACTGTTATTACATTATACATGGCTTTCTCAGATTTGACGGGCACACATTGCATAATGCAGACAATTTTTATTTGCCATCTTTCTCTTGGGAAGCTGATAACCAGACAAATGTAAATTGGAAGAAATGTAAAAAGTAAAGAACCTCATAATGAATAACAGAGCTGTCCCAAAGTGGTCATTTCTAGGTTGCATTTAGTCATTGCGGTGGTATTTTTGTCATATCTAAAAGTAGTCAAATATTGTTGCCAAAAAATGTCTTCAAAATATATATACCAGTACATGTGTTAGCATCAAAGTGAATGATATTAGATTATTGAGATAGCAAAATTATGATTCCATCTTAATTTGTGTAACCATTGGATATTACCTGTAGTTATTTTTATTTTTTATCACTACATCCGGGGCATATATTGTTTTTGTCCTGTCTCTCTGTTTGTCTGTTTATCTGTTTGTCTGCAAACTTTAACCTTCGCCATTAATTTTGAACCATAAAAGATATAGACTTACTGTTTGGTATGCATACACCACTAATTAACATCAAGGTCAATGACCTTGTAACTTTGACTGTGACTTATATGCTAAAAATAGCTTTTTGGCGGTGAACTTTAACCTACGCGATAACTTTTGAACCATAGAAGATAGAGACTTTATATTTTATCTGCATACTCCACTAATTCAGTTCTTTTGAATGACACCAAGATCATTGACCTTATGACCTTGACTTTTATGCTAAAAATAGCTTTTTTGAACCTTCACCATTATTTTTGAACCATGAAAGATAGAGACTTCATATTTGGTATGCAAACTCCACTAATCAAGTTCTTTCAAAAGACACCAAAGTCAATGACCTTGTGACCTTAAATGTGACCTATATGCTAAAAATAGCTTTTTTGAACTTTGTTGCCACTGGGTGCATAGTGTTTCACAAACACATCTTGTTTTCATTGCATACCTTACAAGGGTTGTTCATGATTATCCAGTTTTGGTTGTCTTTGCAAGTTTTAAATTGCAAAAATAGCTGCATATAATTTGTCACTGAATATAGGTTACAAAAATATAACTTCAGGAAACCATTTGGTTAATAATGCACAAAAATAGGACAATTTTAATGAAAAATTAATGGTATTTTGGAAATTTTTTTTGCGAAAATTATGATGGCAACATTTTTAGTGTACAAA